GAAATGCTTTCAGGCCGTCTGGCGTACCGCAGCTACTGTACAATTTTCAACTTCAGATCTAGAATCTGATGTCCCGTCTCGAAACATGAAAAACGAATCATCGAAATCTCCATCCTAGCCGGCAACCCCAAGAAAATGCATAGTCACCAACAACGCCTTGCTAAAAAAAAAACCCCTACTAAAAAAATGGTATATGGGCAAACACGAATAGCACTGTAAGATACGAGGACCAAATGCCTTGCTAATTTGCATTTATATTGTTTTTCTTGGACGTCCACGACCACGCTTTCCAGAACTAGAGCCTCGTGTAGGAATCATCGAAGGACGGCCTGATGGTCTACCGAGAGGCTTCTTGGGGGCTGGTGCGCTTGCCGGAACCTCATCCTCGCTCTCAGTATCTGATACATCTATAGCCTGAGGCTTCCTATTGACACCAGAAGACTTCGGTGCTGACGCAGTGGAGGTTGTCGTTGTGATCTTGCTTGTTCTGTTGTCGTTCTTTCGAGAGGCTGGTCCGACAATTTTGATTTTCTTTCCGTTGAGTCTGCTCAAGATGGAATTGGTCGATGGGGGTGGCCCTGTACGAACGGGCTCTGGTGTCTTGTCCACAGGTCCCGACTCTCCTTGCAGTAGCTCATCGTCAGCAGACAGATCAGCGAGGAAGTTATCCATCAGCTGGTCATCATCTGATTCAGGAAACAGGGCCATCTTCGCTCGCAAGTTCTCTTCGGCTTCCCTAGCTTCAGCTTCAGCACGAGCCTTTGCCCTCTCCTCTTGACGCTGAGCTTCCAGGGCAGCGGCAGCGGCTTGTTGTGAAAGGATGAGCGCTTCGCTGGAACAGTTATCCTCCTCATAAATGTCGTCTTGCTTAGAAACATGGTCAGACACATCGCCAGTGCTGTTTGACTCTGGATCCTTTGATGATGACTCCGTAGGCCTGATCCCAGCTTTCGATTTTATTGGCGAAGATCTTCGACGCTCGTTGTACAAGCGGCTTCGCTCTCGGTCTTTCTCCCGGTTGGGCCTTATAGCTCCGTCTCTGAAGTCGGATGGCAGTTCAGTGGGCAGGGCGTCCTCGTATTCATTCCTCCGGGCCAACCAGTTTGACGTGCGACCACGTGGGCGACCAGTGTATTCAGGCTCATCGTCATCCCCGCCAAACTCTTCGTCTGAATCGAGTGTGATCTCTTCGAAACGTTTAGAGCCACGAGGCCTTCCAGGTTTCGCGGAGCCATTAATTTCTGGATTGCGCTTGCGTGTGGAGTACGCCTCGTCCTCTTCTACACGAACACGATATGTCTTCGCGTCCTTATCCTTCTCAGCCCCGCTCTTTAGGGCATTTGGCTTCGGTACAACATCGGATTGTAGGATAGACCGCATGTCACCAGACGCATCGGCTTCCTCTGGAGTACCTTGTCGTACAGTTGGTGCGCGCGTGGGAACTAGTCTTTGACGAATCCGGTCAAGATGGCCAGTAGCCAAAGACAGCTTCACCACTTTTGATTTGCCTTTCATCTTTGCGGCAACCAAGATGAATCTGTCTTCGCGTTTAGCGTCTTCGAGCAGTTTCCTCTGGACCTCTTTCTGATATTGCTTGCCGGATGCGTTCTTTGGTTGCAAGGACGAAGCATCATCGTCCTTTTTCTTCTTCTTTTGCTTGTTTGCCTTGGTCTTTTTCCGGTGGCTACTCTCTGCTTCTTCATGTTCTTCGCGACCACGCTTCTGACCCAGACGAGGAATCTCTCCAGCCATGTCGGGATCGTGATAGTATGGAGCAGCGCTCACACCCCCATCACCGTTTTCATCAGGAACACCATTAGCATCCTCCATAGGAGAATACGTGATGCCGTATCGGGTGTAGTTCTGGTCATCGTCTTCGACAAATCTCGCATCGAGGGAAGGGTCCGCCATTTTGTCTATCTCTGCCTGCTGCATTCGTCGTTGCATTGCATTCTGTACCATGCCTTCTTCTTCTCTTAGCCAGTTCAGGTTAGAGACACTGAAGTCAACGAGACACTCTACTGAGCGTGGATCTGCCACTTTTTTGGTATCATGACCTAGCAAAGTTCCTTTAGGCTCGTATGGATGTTGTCGGGGATCACGTCGGCAAGCACCTGTATTGCAAACTCTCAAACAATGAGGGCACTTCCAATTGAAAGCTTCCATGATGTTCACCGGCATTGTATCGTGCGCTCGGAACAGCGTGCCGTAGCAATAGGCCAGATCACAGCTTGAGCAGAATGCCATCTTCCATTTCGGATGTCGATGGAGACAGAAATGGCAGGATTTGTGCTTTGAGAGCCACTGCTTCGATTTCTTGTTCGCACTCTTCTTGACGTTGCCGTATTCGTCAACAACAGGTTCCTCGTCGTCAGATACGGCCTCAGGCTGCGGGTTCTTGATATCCACAAACGGCCGAACTCGTGATTCTTCTTGACAGACCTGGGCCAAGGTCTTCTTGCCGAGATATCTTCGCTCCTCTTGTAACGGAAGCGGAGTTTTCTCATGGACATAGCCATCGATGTCAATAATCTGAGCGCGCCACTCCTCATATTTATGAACGAGGTCCTTCCACTTCCATTGCTCAACCCATGTGTACCCCGATTGACATCCACAGCTTCGACCCATACAGTAGCAGTCCATACAAACGTCGTATGGCTCCTCGATCTCGGAACTAAACAGGTTCTTGCACGATTTGCAGCTAAGGAAGCGATTGAAGATGTTGCATCTACAATACGCGCAAGTTACGTTGCTGTCGTAAGGGAGAAATTCAGGGTGTTCTCGTGAATCTTGTACAAACATCTCGGACAACAGTACAATCTTGTAGAGGTCGAAGAGCTTCTTAAAGTCTTTCTGGACTTGCTTTATTCTGACAGAGCATTGGATCGCAACTGCTTGTTCAACTCCTGCTTCGACTTGTGCGCGGGCAGACTTGATGAGACTGGAGTACTTTAAGAGGGTGTAGTAGATAATGGCCTTGTTCTTGTATTGCTCGTCTCTACAAACGACTCGGGAGTTGGGCAATGCTTCGTTCAGCGCGAGTTCTAGGGTCTCGACGGTTGTGCGATTCCAGGCGATCTTCATAGTACGGGTGCCCCGATTCCATACTTGATGAGGCGCCAGTGGTGGGATGAGAATGAAGTCACCCGGCCGTTGCTCCACGACATAAGTCTGGAACGGAGCCTTCTTCCAGGCGATGAGCTGTGCGAAGTGGTTCTCCACTTCTATGTCATGGCCCAGCACCGAAAGCCAATACTCGGAAACCACATGGCGGTCTTTGCTTTCAGTCATGAACCATATCGATGACCCGGAACGCTCCTGCTTGCCGTTTTCACTGATAGTGCCTGAAGCGTTCACCATGATATTCTGACCCAGAGAAGCGCACATCTCTCGGTGAGACGGGGTGTAGGTGCCTTCGTGGCCGATGTAGCACATGAGGTTCTCGGCGCGCATGTCCGGTGGTAGGCTGCTCATGAGGTCTCCAGCCCGCGCAATGCCTCGCCCTTTGCGACCGCCCAACTCGTCCATGGCACCGGGACCACCAGGTTCGCCTGTGCTCTCGTTGAGGTAGAAAAGCCCCGAGGGGATGTGCTCTTTCAGCTTATCATGCCATACTTGAGGGCAGTCGATATCTTTGAGATAGATTCGCTGCCTCGCTCTGTCGCGGTATACGTCTGGGCCGTCGAAGAATTGCTCGGTGAGCTTCGTCATATGCTTGAGGTAGTGCTTCATGGTAAGAGGGATATTCTCCTTGGTCGATAGATTTCGCGCATTCTCGACTACCCATCTGTTAGGTGTGCGTATCGATTGTTGCGCAGGGGCGCACTTACCCTTGTCGCCATGGTTGTCACGCAGCCACGAAGGCGTAAAAGTCCAAGGATCCAGCACCTCCTCGAAGCCGTCGATTACCAGAGGTTTGCCGCCTATGACCACGTGTAGCAAAACGAGCTTCTCGAAGGCTTCGATGCCGTTGTTGGCGATCATTTCATACGAAATGCGGTCGACATATTGGAAATTGTCCGCATTCTCCACAAAGGTGCGCACATCGAAGTCTGGCGGTATCGGCTCGAACGAGGCCCTGGGGCGCGCAGCCGGCATCGTGCGCGCCACCAGTTACTATGCGCAGTCGCGTATCAGGTGTGGGGTCGCGAAAGCAGGAATCACCTCCGCGGCAGCATCGTGGCTGCAGATAGCTGGTATTGCACAAAATAAGCTCGCACGTGTGGTCGCGATCGTCCAGGGAGCGAATGTCGCCGCAAAAGGTGAGCCGCAATCTATCCGGCGACGGCATGGTGAGAGCTATCGGGATGTGGACGCGACCGAGGAACCATGTTCTGAGCGGCGCGCAAGCTGTCACGTGCTGTCGGGAGTTAGCGCGAACGCTGCAACTTTCACTTTCCCCACTCACTCTCACCAGTCTGGATGATCGAAATGAACTAACCAAGCTGACTTTCCAAGTTGGGCGCCCAAGTTCTCACTTACGTGCATGTCTTCATGCTGAAGGTACCACCTTATAATCAGGATCCCAAACGATACTGCAGCAAACGAGAAACAAGTGACTGACTTGCGCATCTTTGTATGCGAACCCACATACGCCTTTAACCGGCAAAACACCAAGCATGGCGTTACCACATCATGCAGCGCGGCCCTTGGCTATGTGTCGGCAGTTCGTTAGGAAGCATTCCACTCTTCACTCTACTCTCAGACAAGGGCAGTCGTCGACATATCTATCACTTGCAGGCTCCCGTCCACAATCTGTTCAGCTCGTCAAACCGTTTACACAACATCGGGCATCTTTGCAATCAAGACTGGCGACGGTGGTAGCACAACACAATGGACCGTCGAGGTCACTTCCCGAGTACAAGCCACCCACTACTGGCTTCCTATCTTACCTACCTCAAAAAGCCGTTCCATATGGTGAGCTGATGAGGTTGCACAACCCGGTCGGCACATATTACCTCTTCTTTCCTTGCATGTTCAGCACACTCCTCGCTGCAACTATGGCGACTCCCCTTGCTGCACCATCCGACGTCATCAGTACAACTGCCCTTTTCTTCACAGGCGCTCTTGTTATGAGAGGTGCCGGCTGTACTATCAATGACCTTTGGGACCGAAACCTTGATCCACATGTCGAACGAACGCGGTTACGTCCACTTGCTAGACGAGCAATTACACCTCAGCAGGCTATTGTCTTCCTGGGGGGACAGCTTACGACGGGTCTAGCTGTCCTCCTGTCGCTACCCTTCGAGTGCTTCTGGTACGCGACACCGTCCCTAGTATTGGTCACTCTTTATCCTCTAGCGAAAAGAGTAACCTACTATCCTCAATTCGTTCTCGGACTCACCTTCTCCTGGGGTGCGATGATGGGTTTCCCAGCTCTTGGAGTCGACCTACTGGCGAACCAAGCAGCACTTACAGCGGCGGCTTGCCTCTACGCTAGTAACGTCGCATGGACCGTTCTGTACGATATGATTTACGCACACATGGACATAAAGGATGATGCAAAAGCTGGCATCAAGAGCATCGCGCTCAAGCACGAAAAGGAAACAAAAGTGGTCTTGTCGGGTCTCGCTGTTGTCCAGCTCGGCTTACTATCCGCTACAGGAGTCGCGGCAGGGTTAGGGCCTGTCTTCTTTGTCGGAACTGTTGGGGGAGCCGCAGTCACATTGGGCACCATGATTCGACGAGTGAAGCTGAAGGAGGTCAAGAACTGTTGGTGGTGGTTCGTGAATGGTGCATGGTTCACTGGCGGTGCCATCAGCCTGGGCCTGGCTGGAGAGTATGCCGCGCATCTTTTCGGCTGGTACGGCGATGTGGGAGAGGGTGAAGACGATTGGAAGTCTGTCGCTGCTTGAAACTATACATGTATATTGGTGATGTTGTACATATCCTCATGCACTATGACAGCAAAGTGATATTTCTACATGGCGGCGGTGTTGGGCGTTCCTGCCAAGGCTGTGGTTCTGCCACTGGAGCCCGCCCAGTGACAGCATAGGTAGCTTCCCCTACACCCACCTCCAGCTTGCGCAACACCCCCGTAAGTCTCCGCTGTATCCCCGTCGTACCTTGGGAGTCGCTCTGTTCTGCTCCGCATACAACTGCGCTATCCTGTAGCACGTGTTGCACGCACAAAGATACAACTGCGCCGCTGCAATGGCTTCGCGACTGGTGCTGGTCCTGGGCGACCTCTTCATACCAGACCGAGCTTCAGTATGTTTCGACACCTAATCTGCACCACGCTAGACCTCACAAACTTACAGGCTGCATAGGATATACCGGCAAAGGTACGCTTTGCTCTGTCTCTGTCACGCGCAACCACCGTCAAGACCTGCTACAACCGCACCTTTTGTCTGGTAGACTTCGCGCATGCGCTTACACGGCCCTCTAGTTCAAGAAACTGCTCGCGCCTGGAAAGATCGGCCAAATCCTTTGTCTGGGCAACATTACCGACCGCGAAACCTACGAATTCCTGCGCGCCATCGCGCCCGACCTACAAATCGTGAAGGGTGACTTCGACGTCGAAGCACCTAATCTCGCCTTGTCAAAAGTAGTCACGCACGGCAGTCTACGCATAGGCTTCACACATGGCCACACCATCATACCACCCGGCGACGGCGACAGTCTGCTGATAGCGGCGCGGCAGATGGATGTCGATGTCTTGCTATGGGGCGGCACCCACAAGTTCGAGGCGTATGAAATGGAGGGCAAGTTCTTCGTCAATCCAGGAAGTGCGACAGGGGCCATGTGTACGGGATGGTGGACTGAGGATGAGGAACCTACACCGAGTTTTGTATTGATGGATGTCAGTTTACCCACAGCTGGTCACACAAAGAGCAGCAAACAGCACAAGAGTCACTAGGCTGTCAGGCTAACAAAAAATCAGGTCCAGGGCGATGTTCTCGTACTGTACGTGTACCAACTACGCAAGGATGCCGAAGGCAACGAAAATGTTGCAGTGGAGAAAGTGTCGTTCCGGAAGAACGGCGGCGGCGCATCATAGACCAAGCTTATTACAAACAGCCGCTGGAGACGGCTTGTGGACGGACGAGTGCATGAAACGGAGTGGTCATACAAGCATAGATGCGCGTGCATGCATTCACTATGCGGAGTGCAAGTATTACACAACATGAACAATGAACATGAACTCCCTTTTCGCAATCGAGCTAATTCAGTTGGCTTCGGACTTGATTCCGCTGTGGTACCACCACCTATACCAAGGATGTTTATATGATAAACCGCATTCTGTACACATTGTCCATTGCGGCTAGACACACCATCTTAGTCTCGCAGATCCCATATATCAAAACACTCGCAAGCATGCATAATGCGTTCAGGCATGTTCCTTTTTACCCCACCTTTCTATGAACCCATGGTGTGTTACTGTCCGGTGAGGCTGCTTGAGTCTTTTGTGTATCATTACACTACGCGATCAAGGTTTCCTGTTCGACGTCAAGCCGGATTATCATGTTCTTCCCGAACGATATGCCGACCGACTTGATCGCGCCGATATGCTGCGGACATGATATGATAATGCCCGAATAACTACGCAACCAGCATGTCGACGTCGAAGTCGTCGCCTCACACTCCGTTCGCTTAGCTATCTCTCTTTTTCAGTACCTCCATTACTGCCTTTCCAACCTCTTCAAACGATCCAGGCATACAGGCAATCATACCCCAATTCCGCTCTCCTTTGATCTTTCGTCCGTTTGCAAAGTCAATTTGTTCACCCTTGAAGTCGCTAATAACTCCGCCTGCTTCTTGGAAAAGGAGATGGCCACCAGCGTGATCCCAAATATAAGTAAAGCGGTCCAGGGTCTTAGGAATGCGCACCATGACATCCGTAGCACCAAGGGTAAGAGCCACGTATTTCATTTGCTGAGACCAGAGAATCGTGCCTGGCCATTGGGCACTAAGTGACGTAGCAACAGCATTGTGCTCAGATTGCGACAGCGATGTTTTGCCTAGTGTTGCTTCGACAAAATTTAGCTCGGAAGGCTTCTTTTGAGGTAGAGTGGTCAAATCTACGTGCCGGGGTTCTCCTAGTCCCGCAGAAGCAGAAGCGTTCATAGAGCGGACAAAGGTGCCTTGTCCTTTGACGGCAGATAGTACTACGCCAAAACCATCTGTGTCGACACGATCTTCGTGAATTGAAGTTTGGCCGAGAGTTTCTTGAATAGGAAATGCGAGGTTGGGGCAAGCAATCACTCCAACTTGTTGCACGCCATCAACGAGCAGGCAAAGGCAAACGGCGTATTGTTGGCCTTGCATGAACGTCGCTGTGCCATCCACGGGATCCATGACCCATACTCGGCCTCTTCTCGTGATCTCTCCTTTACCTCCCCGATCAATAAGCTCAAACATCTCTTCTTTACTCTTCGGAGAAGCCAGCTCCTCAACCTGTACCGAGCTTCCGTCTCCTTTACCACTCTCGGTGCCGCCTTCAAGAGACTCGCTCCTCGCCTGTTGCACAAGCTGCCAAACGCGGTCAGCCAGTGCCTCGTTCTGACGCAATGCATCAGCGCTCTCCTCGCCCAAAAACGCATCTGTGGGGTAGGCAGCATGCAAAGCGGAGATTAGGAGAGCTTGAGCGGCGAAATCCGCGATCGTAACGGGACTGTCGTCTGCTTTGGTCTCCGCAGACACGTTGTTGGAGAGACTGCGGAGAACGGATTTGGTGAGCAGAGACGCCCGGTGTACGGCGCGCAAGGCGAGGCGAAGTTCGGCAGAGTAGGCCATGGCAAATACCGTGTGATTTTAGGTTACAATTGCGTGATGTACGGCGTATTGTCGCTCTCTGTTGATGGTTAATGCAGAGTATTAGTTTAGATGAGGTGATTAAGTATTTGGCAAGCTACTAGCAAGTGCATAGTAAGCGAGACTAGAGGAGCGCTCAACGCGCGTTGTGTGCGCAGTACCATCGCCGCAAAATATGAAGTTCGACGATGTCAACAACACCACAATGTCACTGAGATGCCTTGAGTATTCCACAGGGGCGCAGATTGCGCAAGAGTCATTCGTGGCTGATTGTGAACGAGATACATGACGGCGTTTGAGTCATGCGACTAGTTCGGTTTCGCTTGATTTGAGATACTCGGAGATCTGACGGTCTGACCCAAAACTTGGTGAGGCGACTGAAGCTCGCCTTTTCCTGTTTATACCTACGGTAATTGTACCCTAGTGGCATCTACTGTGTTCAAAAGCTAGTTTACAACTTAGAAAGGACAAGCTTCTTGGTAAGCGCAAGTGTCGAGTATCACCAGACACATGGAAAGTTTGGTAGATTCGACGGCGCCTCTCCGACTCCTCCCGCAGAGCTTCTCCCGCGAAGGGAGGCCCTTACAGTACCGGCGACGGGAAATTGACGGGAAACACAGTTATTGGGAAAAGCCCACTCGCAGTCCACCCGCCAGCAAAAACGGGCCGATGTCTCGGGAGAGTGCCAAACTCGGGAGATAACCACCAGGTTCAAGCGAGCAAAGAGGCGAGGCTGCTCTTTGTTGTCTCTTGAGACGGTTGGCGCTCCGTGCCGCGTTCACGATAGATTGCTGGCGCCTGTTTTCGAGTTATACAGCATGTGCTCGTCTGCTACTTGGGACACGTTGCCTGCTTGAAGGTGCAGTTCGCACTCTGCAAAGTTCCTCGAGTGACCTTGGGCTCTATATCCTGAAGCTCGCCATAGTGGCGCAGATGTTGGTAATGATGAGGGACGTGAGACGCACGAATATTGAACAGCCCGCATCCTGCATCATCTTGCAGAGGAGCGCGTAAGCGATTCGCTGCATGGCCTTGAGGGAATCGAGTGGTGCCATACTTTAGCATATATGAAGTCTGGATGCCTTCGATGCATTACGTTGTATTATATCGATGATCAGAGTTGCTGTTACATAGAGGCTGCATGATCGATGCACATTTGTTGAGGATTTTTTGTACCGATGTATTGTTTATCGGGGCTGACAGCCGTTTCGAAAGCATTGGCGATACAGCGCATGGCCCGCTCCCTGGCAATGTCGCCATCTTTCGCAATTAGAAAGTGTCCGCATCTTTTGTGGGGAAGATAATCTTTCACGGGCCACATCTGTTTTTGGGTATCGCATTGGTCGTGCTGCTGTGATTGCACCCGTGATTGCATTATCATGAATCGCGCGACATGGTAAAGGAGGCGGACTATAGAAGTTGAATATCAAGGGACCTCGTTAACCGCGAGGATCTCGCGATAAGACTAAACCGTTCCTGCAGATAGCCTGTACGCATCAGATGGTTCGCTTGGTGGCTTGTCTAGGGCCATGTCGTACAGGAACCTTGAAAAAAGCACCGTGGGGGCTGTCTCTCTGTCAGGTCATGCAGGCTGTTCGTGTTGGAGCACGCCGACCAAGTGACTTGCAGCTGGGGGCGGCTCGATCATTCGTCCGTCTGGACATGGCCTCCATGAAGCCTTGAGCCACTTGCAGGACGTATGCTCTAGCAGGAACGCAGTCACCTGAACCGAGCGTCTTATCTCGCTTGCTGGGACGCAGAGTACTCGAACTGGAGGAAAATGCTCCTCTGCACAGATTGCGCAAGCCATGAACAGTTAGATGGACAAGCGAACATGCGTTCTTACCACCGTTCGATACTTATTTCGCCCCCGCCGACCCCCGATGGGGGCAGCAAGCCATGACCAAGAGTCCAGGTCGGTCTGCTCCTGACTGTTTGGGAAAAAGAGGCTTGAAGCGCTCAGCAAGAAGCGAAGCACTGAGTTCCTCCGGGCGCGTGTCTAGACACCGAAAAACGCATAGAGCCGCGCGGAAATAGAAGAAAAAAAAAACGTGTTGAGGAATTGTGAAAAGGTTCAGGAGGCGGCAGTTCAGAGCATGGTGTGTCCTGCATCCTGTGTTGAAGATCGTCGCTGCAGCGCAGAGCCGGAATCCCGTAAGTGGAAGACAGCGCGTCGGATGAGAAAGATAACGTCTTGCAGAGTTGCCATTCGTGATCAAGTATGTGTCTCTAGAAGTTATCGACAAAATTTAAACCAGGAGAGCTGAACAGAGTGGATTACGTGATCGAGAGTGGTGTGCTTGCATTACAGACACTCGCTACGATGCTCAATATCATCGCTCAGCGTTCAGTGTGTGCAGATAGTCGGCTTACGGAAGACGGCTGGCGTAAGAGTATGGAATTGACTTAGCTGCAGGGCTGAGAGTGAGACAGAATGCTAGCGCGTGCAAAATGATGCCTCTGCAGAGCAGTCTGTTATCACCGAAGATAGCGAAAACCGGGCCTAACGCTGGGGCAAGCGGTTCGTTCGGTTATTGAAAGGTGGAACTGGACGGATAGCAGCATGGGATTGGAGAGAGAGGAGACGAGCAGGGTTGCGTGGGAGGGTGCTCATGACTGCTGAAACCGATAACTGCTATTCCGCTTCTTTGCGCCATCAAACTGGAATAGGAAGCCTTGTACCTAGATTTGCACGTCAGTCATCTGCCCGTCCGGCGCAGGGCCGCGCAGATGACTAGCGAGGGAATTCGTCATGGAGGGACGTTGTCGCGTCGCGCTGCTATCACGCAACTCTCGGACGGTGGTGTCACCAGATAGAGCGCCCATCACTACGCAAATGGGCTACGACTGCCCCCCAGCGGCCGAAAATTCTACGCTCTGCTGGCTGCAGCATCGACAAACGTGCCGCGAAGTCGTTCGCTGCAAGAGGGTGAAAATCTCTCTGGACGAGCGAATGGCGAGGGCAGAGGGCGAGGGCATGCTGGCAGCACAGCACCCCGGTGGCCAAAACGCAGCCTGCTGGGTAGGGTAGGCGCATGGAGCGAATGGACAGGCGCCCGCTCTGCACCTGTTCGCCGGAACGCACAGTGGACGAGCTAGAGCCGGATTAGTGTGGTGGTGGTGAGGGGTGCGGGCTTACAGCGCTTGTTCGAAATTCAATTCCCTTGGCTGCATCTCAGTGCATGGTCAGCCATGCGGAGACTACGGCGTGGACCCTGCCCCCCATCCCTGTCAGCCGTAGTGCCTGAGCGCGACTTAAGTATACTATGTGTGCCCCATCATCCTCCCGTAGCTCCACACGGTCCCTCCGCTCACGAACTCATAACTACCTCATGACTCCTACCTGAGAGATCTTCATAAGACCCCTTTCGTCCCTCTTCAGTCCAACTACCACCCACCAACACTACTACCCCTCCGATATCATCTCGTCGGCGGCTGTATACACCATCATCACCACCTCCTCTTCTACCACTACTGCTCTACACCACCACATTACCTTCATAATGGCTTCCCAAATGGAGTGCTTCAACGACTTTTGCCTGTCCTGCGATCGTCAAATTGCTGAGAACGGTGTCTACTGCTCGCAATCGTGTCGGTTAGCCGACCTTGAGAAGGCTGGCAGCACAGCACATGCGCCCTCGCAACTGTCATCATCCGCTTCGTCGTCGTCATCATCCAACAGCGGCTTCTACCTCGCCCCTGCAATCAACTTCTCGGCATACAAAGGAGCCTCGAGTTCACAAGTACCACCCTCGAGCCCGTACCACTACTACCCAACCGCAAATGGCAGTTACTTCGCACCACCAACCGCGACAAGGCAATACCCACAACGCAGCCTCACGCCCTCGTCATCACGCTCATCCCTAGCTTCGCAGTCTTCCCAGACCCAGTCAGGCATCTCGCAGCAAGCAGCAACCCAACTCAACAGCTACATGCGATCCTTTGACCAAACACGGGACGTAAAGAGGCGGTACACACAGTACTAGCCTTGGTCTCACATATGTTGCTTTTGGAGTTTGGTTTAACGACGATCACGACGACCGACCAAGATGCTCTGCCTCCGTCTCGGTTTCTCATTGTTCTCTTGTATTTTGCATCCGTCTCTGGCCTTGGACAGCGGAGACTGGCGTGGGTCCACGGAGTACACCTGCATATCGATCACCGCTGCTCTGCGTTCTAGTTTTGTACTATTTCCTCTGTTGTCATACGTGGACGCGGTGTACGATTAAAAGTATTTATATATCCCCTTGGCATCTTTGTTTCGAGCTGCCCCGGCGAGGGTTGGTGACTGGGGGTTGTCCAGCACATGCGTTTGCATCACGACCACGGCGGTCAGGACGGTTGGGTATTCCTCTCACTCGGGCGACGTTGGACGCGGCGCCTGTTTTCCGCTCTAGCTATAGTTTAGTAGTAGCTGTCTCAAATGGACACAACGGTCATGAGCATAGACTCATGGCGACAAGACACGTCAAACATTTTCATCTGCTCCACTTGTCTCGGTGATACTCAGATGACAGCCTCGCGCAACCGCCTGTCCAACCCGGCCATGTCCCACCACGGCTGCAGATCACGCCGACCCCTCACCGTCACGTGACGGAGCACCCTTTGGTACAGTGTTTGGCTTAGAGATAAGCACAAGCCCTCACAGATGAGCACAGATGAGACACGCCCAGGCCCAATGCGCCGTCTCGTTATATTCCCGTGGCGCTTTAGAGTTTGCATGCTGCGCAGTGCGTGGTCAGAGTGGTAAGACGAGGCACAGCTGGTCTCTCCACCGGTATTCCTTCTGCCTGTGCTACATTCGCCAGGAAGAATTTTTCGCGCAATCAGGCATGATCCAGAAGCCAGCCACGCCCAACAGCGTTCGCAGCAAGTCATGTTCCGGTGGCGATAAGCAGACACACTTGGACGTTGTTGAGGGGTTCCAGCGAGCAGGACGCACCCACTTAGTCGCAGCCTCCCCTTGCCTTGGGAATAGGCAGTGTGCCCTTGAAAACACCAACCTTGGGCCTCCGCCTGCATGCCCTCCACACATTGGTCCGTCGTCGCCGCACGCCCTGGTCCGGCGGCTGCGATTGGTCATGTCTGCTGCAGGTGGGCCTCTCCTGCTTGGCTTCTCCGCACTTTTGTATGAACGGCCCGTACTTTGTCTGGGTTGCCGGCGACAGGGCTCATCCCGCCAGTCGCTATGCGAGCTGCGAGCAAGAAAAAAGCAACTCGATCCCACGCTTCGTCATGCGGCATTCGCACGCATCCATGAGGGGGAAGTCGCCATGGCGCAACGCTGCCAACCGTCGTCGAGTTGGCCTTTTTGTCATGCGCGCAAAACGGCGCGCTTTCGTCATTGCCATGGGCCGGCTGCTGCCTTAACGCACAAATTCTCCCTTCTGCTGCTCACTTGCGCCTTGACTCTCTCACGGTCCTCTTCCGCAATGCCAGCTCATCCGGCTCCACTTCGCAAGCGAGCCCCAGGATTAGCTGGCAATGTTTTGCGCAGCTTCGCCTTTCAACAGGCGTCCCAGCCATGGCGAGACGGCGGCTTCCTGCTACTCCCCATCATTAGGTCATGGCTGCATGTGCGACGCTTGCCCGTCCTCGTGTGACATGTATCAACGCGGCCATGTCGTCCTCACACCACTCACAGCTCACCTCGCTTGCAGTAAGGGCCTGGTGAACTGTTCCGAGATCCGATCACCTCCAAGGATCGATATTCTGTTAACCGCCACGGGCCGCTTCAAGCATTCCAGAGTCTCTCATGCTCCCGCAAAGGACCGAAACAGAATACACTTTGCATCCATACAGACTCGCTGGGTCCTGGCTCCGGTTGCGATACCAGCCAAGGGTGCAGCCGCTACGGCAAAATTAGGTCCGGAACTTCAGGCATCCTGCAAGGACCACGAATTGAGAAGGCTCGGAGAGTACCAACAACTCCCCGACGCGGGATCAAGAGTCACACAGGGCGTGTTGAGCCTCATCGAGGCCCCCTGGACCTGCTTCGGTACCAAAGTGTGACAAAAAGCAAGCTCTACTTTGCCAACCACAGCGACTGGTTCTCCTCGCTGGCTTGCATCTCGCTCGCCATCTCCGAGGATCGTCGCGGAAAAGCGTCACGATACACTCAATACGGCCCTCGCTTCCCACGATACCTCGCTTAAAAGTTATCGATTCCATCTCGCTATTGCGCAAGCTTTTACAAGCTCTTCGCCAGGCTCTCGAACTGATAGGATTGCTGTAGTAGTGCGCTGATCTCCAATAACGTGCAGAGAACTTATCGTTTAGCTGGTCGACGAACACCATCAGTCGCTGCATCCAAAGGGCATCCAGGACTTGATCGCCCGGTGTAAAAGTCCAGCCACTCACACTGCCATGGCACACATCCGAACCCGCACAAATGATCCAGAAATTGACTTTCAATACAATGCAGGCACCCGTCAACGCACATGTTGCCCCGAACGGCAGGCACACGGGAGAGCGTGTGCAATCTGTCAGTGTCAGGCGTCATCAATAATGTCAAGATCTTGTGGAATACTATTCCAACCTATCATGGATTTTCGCTTATCGAAATATCGTTGATCGGCGCAATCGAGATTCAGGAACACAGATCCTTCACGACCCTTCGGATCGTGTGCCAGATTTGGGTTCAGATTCGGCCCTCGTCTTCTGCAGGTATATTTCGGCCAAGCTTGGCTAAGTAAAATTACTGACTCGACGTTGGGTATTCGCAGAGCGCACGATGGCGTCACACAAAAAACTCACAAAGGGCCGTGGATGATACGGGGCGAGGAACATGCTTGACTCGTACTTACAAGATCCGGCGGCGTCTAGCTTTCCTCTGCGGGGTTGCTCGGTACGCGCCGACACGATCAGATCTCAATATGTCAAGGTTTGCCTTGTGGTATCAGCGCAGTTGGCAAGTACCAACTATCTGAAAGCCTCTTAACTCACAGAGCTGCATTCGCAAGAGCTAGTGATTTCATTAGGTTGTAACATCTCCCATATTCTCTTTCACTTTCTGGAGACACTGAACAGCAACGGTGCGGCTGAAAGAGCCGCTTCAACCCACGCGGACATCAGGACGAAGGGAGCGCACAACACTACCTTACTCTCGGACAGGCCGATCCCTTTGGCATCATCACTCGTTTGTGATGTGCCTGATTGCCCTGCGCGGAGAAGACCCACATTAGAAGCGTGCCGAGTCAGCTCATCTGTCACGGCAGTTGTTCCCGCAACGAATCCTCTTTTTTCTTTTGACAATCCCACGTTGTCCAAAAGAGACATGTCTAATTTCCCTAGTGATCGAGTCGATGACGCTAAAGAAGAAACGCTCGTTGCGACACCTGATTGTGGTATACACCTAAGGAAGGAAAGAGGCTCCACTTCATACCAGAGCATCGGGCAGCACGCGTGGCAGTGAGCCATGCCCAACGATAGTAATATGGGACGCATGCATCATTGTATGGTGATGATGCATCGACGCCAGACCCCAATCACAAGAAACTTGAAAGTAATTTTGCTGCTAATATCGCGTGGGATGGTAAGGCCCGACTCACTGCCGCTAAAACAAAATCCAAAGAGAAAGATGCAGATGCGAATGCCCATGTGCCGAGCCAAGCGCCGCAATAGAGTGGGATATTCCTCGAGGCTGTTGCAGAGCCCAATCGTCAGCTAAGACTTGTTCGCGCTTTCACCGGAAACAGGTCAAGTAATCAAGACGAGGATTTGAAGTTGCAAACTTGAATCATAAGGTGATGGGACAAACCAGAAGGCTAACGATGATACTTTCCCAGATACCCAGGCACCGAGCCTAATTGTAAAAGAAGGTCAGATGAATGGCCGTACCAACGACCAAAACAAACCTCCAGTCGACCATGGGAAGACGAGGTGATGACAGTATAACACCAGACACCAGACCAACCCTAGTAGAAGTAAGAGAAGACCTAATGGGTATATCAGTACCTCATGTACTCGAGACACCAAATATGGTCCTTGAACGAGAAGACGTTGGTGCAAAAACAAAACACAGCTCGCAATACACTCAAGCACCCATCATCTTCTTCCTTTGTCTCTCAGCCCACTCCCTACTGGCAATCCTCCCACGCTCAGCTGCCTCCGCTCGTGCCCGTTTGGCAGCCTCTTCTTTCTCCTTCCTCTCACGTTCCCGCGCTTCCTTCTCCGTGCGATCACGATTGAAGACCTCTCTACCCTTCAGCTTCTGTTGCGCAACATCAACAGGTGTGACAACAGCCTTAGGAACGATGACACTATTGCGGTTTGCCGAAGACGTCGACGTAGAACGTGACTGAGACAGTGGTTGCGAGAGAGACATACTACTGCGCTTGCTAGCCAGAGAAGAAGAACGCTGAGACTCTTGCTGTGGTTGCGGTGGCGCAATAGTGACGCCTGGTTGCGAGAGAGACATGCTGCTGTGCTTGCTTGCAAGTGAAGACACCCGTTGGATCTGTGGTTGTGGTGGCGCAATGGTAATGCCTGGTTGCTGTCTGATAGGGACGGCCACTGGCTTCCGGACTGGTGCCTGTCGTGCCTTGAGGGCGGCTTCTTTCTTTGCTGCTTCCGCTTCTTCCATGCGTTTTAAGCGCTCTTCCCTCTTTATTCTCAACTTTTCTGCAACGGCTGAGCCGGGTAGCTCGAAAGTGGCCTTTGTTGGTGCTTTCGTCGACTTGGCGTGAGGAGCCATGCTGATGCTGACAGGACGCTGCTTTGGTGCTTGTTGCTGAGGTACTTCAGCTTCTCTCTTTTGCCGCTCCTCCTTCTGTGCCTTGAGTTTCTCAGCAATTTTTTCGCCAGGGAGTTGGAAAGCTGGCTTGGTGAGAGGCTTGGTAGATTTTGGTGGAGGAGGCATGCTGACGGGCCGTATTTTGGAAACTCCGCCTTCTGCCTCCCTCTTTTGTCTATCCTCCTTTTGGGCCTTCAATCTGGCGACCGTATCGTTGCTTGACAGCTGGAAAGTAGGCTTTGTAGGTGCGCGACCCTTTGGTGGTGGCGCAGGTGTGGGAAATGACATGCTGATTGGCCGGCGTTTTAAGGCAAGATAATCTACAGTCTCTGTAGAACCTACTCTACCGTCTTTACCAGGTGCTGTGCGGACACTAGACGCGCGAGCTATCGAAGACTTGACTGGCTTCATGCTCTTAGGCGCAGCAACACTCGGTGTTCTGGATATCTTCGCAGCGGGAGCTTGTGTGGGCACTGGCGCTTTGATGGGTGTCTTGGACCGCATGATCTGCGTGGTAGCTGTCTTGGGAAACTCTGTCTTCTGAGGCGACATGACTTCATGTGCATGGTCGAATCGAGTGACAGACGTGACATTCTCGAGCGCTTCCTCAAGCGCATCGATGGCTTCGAAAGACTCTTCCAAACGCATTGGTGATTTTGACGGGCTTCGCGATGTTCGTCGACTTGAAGTATGGCTTTTGAGTGGTGTCACAGCGTCTTCGCTGGGCCTCTCGGCTGCGAGCGTCTTGGGTTCAGGTTCTGAACTTACTTGGACGGAAGGTGCGGGGGGTTCAGCTTCAGACACGGGCGATTGATTTTCGGATATTGCTTCAGTCACTGTTGCTTCGACGACGGGCTCCTCGCTTTGAGGCTCCTCAATTTGCGGCACCGGCGCAGCATGGGTTGCTTCTACCGTCTCAGTCACCTCCTGATGCGTTTCTTCTTCTATGGGCACATTTTGTGCTTCTTCTACAGACTCTGCTGCAGCTGGCAATTGAGCTCCTTGTATGGGCTCTTCTGACAGGCTCTCAGCTTGGACCTGTTCCGCATCCGCCGTTGTATCTTCAGAAGATGCATCCACAGCCTTGTGTTCGTCTAGAGTCTTTTCTATCGTCGCAGGCACTTCTGCTACAGGCTCTGGCTCTTGTGATTGGGCACTGAGCTGCGCCTGTTTTGCTTCATCTTGCAGCATAGCTAGCTGTCGGCGTGTTCGTCGCACTGTGGGTGGTGGAGTCACGGGTCGTCCATGGTTTGCGGGGACTTGAGTGGCTCCTATACATGATTAGCCTGCGTTCGCTGGCGTACGGCGGCTGCGCACTCACCGTCGGGTGCGTTGTTGGAAACTTGGTCGCCGGCAGCCTTGTTCGTGGGCGCTGCATCTGCGGCTTGTTCCTCTTCATGTGCGGCTCCGGTCTGCTCCTCTTCTTCCTCCTCCTCCACTGCTCTGCCCTTCTTTCCCTTTTGGGCACGGCCTTTTCCTTTGGTCTTCCGCCCTGGAGTCTTGGCCGGGGTTTTGGCGGGTGTTTTCGGAGGCAGGTCCTCTTGTTCGTAGTGGGCGTGTTTGGGCGACGCATTGGACGAGATTTGTTCCAAAGGCGCACGCTCGGTCGCGTCCGGCGCATCATCGCTGGCCTGCTGGGCGCGGGCGCGTGTGACACGCATTGTCGTTGTCAATGTCAACTGGGCTGTGTCGTATGACTGTGTCGGGTTGCGTATGCGCGGCTAGGATGCATTCGAGAGCGGGCTGGTGTGGTGTTGACGCTCGAGTGTTTTGGTCTCCACTCTCGTGCAGCATCAACAAACACCCTTGCCGAGTAAAGCTCGCGCCAGGCGTTTCTCGCACCCACGTGACACGCGCAAGTTCACCAGCACGCGCCCGCGTCGCGGAACCGTCGTAGCACCCCACGATTCAGAAACCCGGGTCCGCATCCGTGCGTGTAGAAGCGTCTTTTTATCCCGTAATTTTGGAGCGGCGATTGATAGACCCCCTTATTTTACCAATTGCATCTCCAAACTCCGTCACGTCTCTCGTTACTACAAATAACTCATTTCTTTTCTCTGACGCGTCCTTGTCTCGTAGATACCAACAAGCCAATCGCACATGGTCGCAATTGGCATAACGCAATACTGAACGTGTCCATCACAGCCATATTCATCCATCGCGCTCGCCTCCGAAGACCGGATGTTTGCAGCCCCGCGGTTGCGTCTCCTTGCCGTGAACAGCCGCCTTCAACCCCGCCCAAGCATGTCGTCACCTCGTTCTCGGGCTGGCTCCCGACTGAAACAGATCTCCAAGCATATAGACTCCAAGCCCTTCCTCGAATTGAACACTCCCTTCTCCACTGAACGCACCGCCCGCATCGAGGACGAACAAGGCAACCGCATACTTCCCGATAAAGTCGAACAAGCCAAGCTCAAGGAAGCCAAGCAAGAATTCAAGAGGGAAGTAGAGGAAGTCAAGAAGCTTGCGCCGGAACCACCCAAGAACATGTCGAGCCAAGCACCACACCCTGCGCTGCTCATTCCTGGGCCCATTGAGTTTGACGATGCCGTCCTCTCGTCTATGAGCCATTACAGGTAACATGCCCAGAGTACTGTGTGCATCATCTTCATCAGTACTGACCGTCTCCAGTGAATCGCATGTCGGCCAACCCTTTGTAAACACCTTCAGCCAAGTCCTTGGAAACCTACGCAAGCTATTCCTCACCAGCGACCCTGCTGCGCAACCCTTCGTCATCTCCGGCTCTGGTACACTCGGCTGGGATCAGGTAGCGGCCAATTTGGTAGAGCCTGGCGATGAGGTGCTTGTCCTACATACTGGCTACTTCGCCGACTCGTTCGCCGACTGCTTCGAAACTTACGGCGTCAAGGCCACACAGCTCAAGGCGCCCATTGGCGACCGACCACAACTCGATGAAGTCGAGAAGGCGCTGAAGGGAAAAGACTACAAGATCCTGACCGTTACACACGTCGACACTTCAACTGGTGTGCTCAGTGAGATCAAGGCATTGAGCGAGCTGGTTCACAGAGTCAGTCCTGAGACATTGGTCGTCGTCGACGGTGTCTGCAGTGTCGGCTCTGAAGAGATCCGCTTTGACGAGTGGAAGCTCGATGCTGTAATTACGGCTTCACAAAAGGGCATCGGCTGCCCAGCTGGTCTGAGCATCATGATGGTATCTGGTCGTGCGATTGAGAGGTTCAAGGCGAGGAAGACGCGTCCAACTTCTTACTTTGGGTCATGGAAGAACTGGCTACCGAGTAAGTCACCTTGATTTCCCCCGCGAGCCGATGCAGGAAACTAACACAATTACAGTCATGCAAAACTATGAAGCAAAGAAGGCATCCTACTTCGCTACGCCGTCCCCGCAACTGATTCACGCGCTCGACACGGCGCTCAAGCAGATTCTCTCCCGGCCTGTTGAAGACTACTGGGCCGCACACAAGGCTGCATCACAAAAGGTCAAGAAGGCTGTGGCAGATCTCGGTCTGAAGCAGCTTGCTTCCAAGCCAGAGAACCAGGCCACCGGCATGACTGCTATTTACCTACCCGAGGGTATGACACCTCCGGATGTTCTGCCCAACCTCTTGAAGAAGGGCGTCATCTTTGCTGGTGGTCTGCACAAGGAGATTGCAACCAAGTACATTCGATTCGGACACATGGGTGTCAGTGTAACCGACCCAAACCGACCAGACATCACCAAGGCCATTGAGAGCTTGAAGGAAGGTCTGGTGGAGGCTGGCTACAAGGCGCCTGCCTAGTTGGTGGGTTCTTTCTTGTTTGAGATTGAATTCACTGAAGATATAACATACCCGAACAATCCGGTGGAAATAAGACTCTTGGAGCCACTGGTTGTAGAGCAAATCTCAAGAATAGAATATAAATCCACTACCATGTCGTTGGTGCAGCATGATGATGAATACCGTGGCTATGTCAAATCCTTCGCATCCCACCAAAATTCAAAACTAACGGCTCTCCACCAACAGCAACGACGCAACCTCTACATGCCCAAGGCAAATATCAAACACTAGGTCTACGCGATCAACAAATCTATCCTACCCAAGGCTAGATCGCCAAGAATGCCCAGAGGCAACGACCTGTTATACGAATTGCCGACCCGTTGCCACCGAATGAAATCATCCAAGTCTCTCCACATCTCGATAACCCAGGATGCGGTAAGTGGGTCTGGCAAGGCTGTGTTCCTGGTGATGTATTCCGATGATGGGCTTTGACATTACTGTACTTAATTCCCCCGACCGACAGCGAGTCTTCGGAGTTTCCTGAAATTGCTATGAGACCCATTGTGCTTCGTTGATTTTCGTGTTCCTGTTTTCCCATCGATCCCTAGCTTCATTGTCGTAGCTAGCGACATTATTGCGCAGCATACGCCCATAGTTGGAGATTGCCCAGGTACTCTTCCCGAAATGACGTCCACATCGCGAAGTCTACAACACGCTTGGGACACAGCATGGACGACTGCACCACCTCAAGCATGCGAAACTCTCCGCAACCTCAATGGCGCCGTCGCTTGGGGCCAAACATGTGTCTTTACCGAAGAAGATAACGACCCAATACCATTTAGCATAAATACCGCTTGCATGCCCTGGGTGACATCGAATGTCTATCCATCTCCATCCGCTTTCTACTCGCCTGCTACCGCATGCCCGGCAAAATGGACGGCAGTCGCCACACAAACCGCAGCAAACGGAGAGGGCAGCGATAATAGATGGATAGACGGGGAAATTGGGCTGCAGTGCTGTCCCGATGGGTTCCAGGCAGACGGAAGAGACGGATGTAGACCGGAAGGTAGTGGCAGGTTTCCGGTTGTTGAATGTGGGGAGGCGGACGCGGAGGAGAACGAATTGAGAACGTACGACGGAGGTGCCTGGCCAGCAACCGCAACGCCGAGTATCACGGCATTGCACTTGAGATATCAACCTAGTGATACTGGGGGCACGAACATCCCAACAGCTTCGAGCACAGATGCTACCAGTACCGGAGCTACTAGCAGTCAGAGTCCAGGAGGAGGTGGTGGTGGTGGTAGTAGTGGCGGCGACAGTGGTAATGGTATCTCGACTGGTGCTATAGCAGCGATAGCCACAATCATTCCTTTGGTCATAATCATTGGAGCCTTGGCAACGTTTCTTTTGTGGAGGAGAAAGAAGAAGAACGGCAAAGCAGCGATTGCGTTGAAGAACCTAGGAGACGAGAAAGACGACTACCCGTTACGATCCGTCGACGACACAGCCAACCAAGCAGCATCCACTCGCCACGACATTCCCAAAGACACTGCTACAGCAGTGTACTACACCGGCTCGTCCCAGCACCCACACGAAACACCCGAATGGAATGTGGAAATGGATGCTGTAGAGGCCGAGCGTCTGAAGGTCACTGGGACATCTGCACAACAATCTTCTAGTCCAGTGGGTCCAGAGAGCGGAGTTGAAGCAGCAGAACTTGCTGGGTTGGCCAGGGTACCGAGAAAACCTATTGCGCCCATTGAGCTTGATAGTACACCTGTGATATCAGAGGTTGGGGATGCGTATATACCGTATCGACCTGGTAGAGAGTAGAGTTTGTACTTTGATACCCAATAATCAATTTCTCATAGTCGTTGAGTTATACGTCTGTGTTCGATGTTGAATGTGCCCTTTCTCTGTTCCTGGTGTAATGTTGTTTCATGTTAGCCTCTAGGCCTCGCTTGGCTTGTTCTGAAATATGCCTTGGAGTGCGCGCTTTCTTTGCAAATTGAGTTGCAGATTCATTCTTTCTGTATTACGCCTTATGTTTTCATACCGGTCTGTGTGGATGTTGAAAGTTCTGACATGAGGGATTCATACACATTCAAGTCACACTGGTTTCATCACGTTCAGTCTTCCTGCAAGACTGAACCCAGTTAGTAGGTTTATGAGTTTTCTGGATGTTGAGTGCATGAGGCAAAAACTTAATATCTGTGTAATTGTCTTTCTCAACGTACAAGCACCGTCTGAGGACCAAACCTGACGCTGCTTGAACTTGATACTGGATGGTGTAAATTAAGTCTCCGCACCGGTGAGAGCCTCATCTGTATTACCGCAAGTAACTTGGCCCCCCAGAGACCACATAAAATGGATATCGCCTAACAGCTCTTCTCGCAAGAAGTCTTTGCGGTCGCCCGGGGTGTACCTGTAATCGTCGAGCGCTTTACCTTAAAAAAAAAGGTGTCCTATGTATTTTCCAACCCTGAGGCTAGGTTTGTCATGCAATGAACCAGCCCACACCATCATTACCTAGGTAAGGAGTGTCTTGTGCGAAACACGAAAGAATTGGGCTCAAGGGTTTGAAGACCGTTTTTGTTTGTACATATATACATATGTATGCATCTGTCAACACCGTACCTTGAAACTCACCGACTCTGAAGCACCATGCAATGTCAGTGCCGATAGTGATAATGTGTTCGTGCTTCTAAAAAAAAACACTTGTAAGAGCCCTCAGGTACAGATCTGCGACAATGATAGCCTTTATCCTGACAGCGGGATTTTTGATGAGTTTGGAGATGGAAGTTCGAATAGTAGTCAACATGTACCAAAACCTGGAATTGTATTCGATGTAGCAGTACCAAATGCTTTTCCCAAGCTCTGATGACGCCAACCCCAAGACAAGGATGAAGAGAAGGTTTGTGTGCTGCGTACACTTTTACAGGACCCCTATCAAGCCTCGTTGCTATCCACCTTGGCCGCACTATCAGCGACCTCATCAGCCGTCTCCGCCATCTCGTGGTCTTCCTTCTTTTCAGCCTTTTCAGCGTCTTCTTTACTCGGCACGCCCTCCTTGTTGCCCACAAGGTCCCTTACGACATCGACGGTAGCTGCTGGGCCACCAGGCTCAGCGGCAAGTACCTTGCCCTCCTTGTCAACAACAAAAACACCACGCGTGGTGCTCTTCGGTGGCTTCTTGAATCCAATAGCCGAGATGAGGCTCTGTGAGGGATCGCAAAGCAGGGTGTAGGGGAGCTTCTGTTTGGTCTTGAAGGTTGTGTTGGCCTTGGGGCTATCAGCGGAGAGACCGTAGATGGAGTATCCGGTTGCGGTAAGGGGATCGTAGGAGTCACGGAAGAGGCAAGCTTGTTTTGTGCCTGCAATCGTACGCATTAGAACCAGTCGGCGAAAGGGAGAGGGCTGTCAGGGGTGTGCGACTTACATCCTGGCGTCGAAGCCTTGGGGTAGGTAAATAGTACAACGCCGCCCTTGCTCTCCTCGACAAGCTTCGCAAGTGTCGTCTTGTCTCCATCATTCGTCTCGATCTCTCCGCCGAAGGAGGCGAGGTCAATCTTGTCGCCGACTTTGGGTGGGCCGCTCTTCGCAGGCGCCGCCGCCGCAGACTTGCCGTTGCTCTTACCGACAACAGCTTCCTTGACAGCTTCGACCTGCTCTGTGACGGCTTCCTGGACCTTTTCGACGACCGTTTTCTCCTCTTCAGGCTTCTTGTCCTTGGCAGGTGCTTTCTTCTTGGCCGCGCGCACTGGCGCTGGGGGCGCTTCTTTGCGCTTACGAAGCTCGACTGGCATGTTGAGATTGGAGTCGCGAGACAATATCGCGGCCGAGTCGGTGTCGCAAGAGAGGATCGAACTCGATCAGGGGGAAATTGGGCAGCGAAAAGGTCAGGGTCGGACGCTTGAACGTTGGTGGAAAGCAGGGTAGGACAGTTGGCTAAGGGTAAGAGTACAAAACCAGCAATCAGTAATACAACCTTGCAGAATCAACAGCCACCAATTCGTGGTAATAAATCCTCAGCCCGAATCACCAAGTACTTTGAGCGCGTCGTCTAGTCAACGGAAATAGGGTAAGCATGGTGGTGAGGCCGAGCGGAGCCAGGTCCTCCAGCCTCCTCACTTGGCGTTTCTGTCCATATCCATATTAGCCAGATTACCTGAGCCTGCGTCTTTTCTTCGGGAACAGCTTGTTTCGGACGGGCACTGGGGGTAGGTAGGCTTGTTATTGGCTGATGAAGTGAGGAGTCGTGAGATGCACAACGCTCGGTTGCGCGTGTCCCGGGCGCGTCATAGCTTCCGTTCCGCAATCCCACGGCCTCCCAGTGGGTTTGCGTCTGATATCAACTGCGCTCAGAATTACTCGTCCATACAATGCATAAGTCTGCTTATGACATCTACAGCTTGAACCTTCGGCTCTTCTCCACGCCCATCAACAACCCTAAATTAGCACGACCTCGAGAGACTATACTGTCGACGCTTGCGCTCCATCTATGCGTCTTCTGTACCTCCTACTGCCCAACTAACAGGATGCCAGTTATTTTCACAAGAGAATACCTTGCTGCCCGATCCGTAGTTCAGCGCCCATCCAGAAGACCACATACCAAGCCCAAATTGCCACGACGAGTCAGTAATCATCTAGAGACAATCAAGGTACGCGGCCTACAATAAGTACGCCTAACGACAGAAAGGCTCAGCATTGTAAAAGCCGTTTGCGACTTGGAAGAAAACAGCTTACGGTTCTTCCTGTTGTGCCACAGCCACATCAATGGAGGAAGTGCATCTGCACGCGTCAGCTAATACCCCTATCTTCCTCCTCCCAGGTCGTGTCAGTAGTGACTCACAGCTAAACCAGCTTCCAAACAATGCGCCCATCAGGCTCAAAAGAAAGGTGAAGTTTGGCACTGCTTCTGCCAAGATCCAACTTATCAGCCATGCGCCTGTGCAAATAGCACCCCAACTTCTCAAACTGAGCCAGCTGCTACACTCGTGCCCTTCCATACACGAAAGTAGATATACTTGGTTGCCACAGACCCATCCACAACGCCTGCGACGATGATTGTAGGTAGTGGAATACCGAAGCATACCTTACTGACCAGTGGGGATGCGGAACCAAGGGCGGGCAAGGCCACTAAAGGTCCAGCGTGATAGTATATGATGACGGAAATGAACATGTAGAAGGTGACTGCGATACCTTGTTCAAGAATGAGGGCTTTGCGGAAGTCGCGAGGATCCTCGAGTTCAGACTGGAACGAAAAGAAAGCGACGTGGCCGGCTATGCGAGATCAGTATGAGTTGGTGCAAGGTCAGACACAGGAGAGAGCATACTGAAGGCCAAGACGATGTTCATGACCGGCGCTAGACCCTTCACCAATGTTACGTCGGGTCGTACGGCGACCATGTTGCCCGTGTCCGGTTTCTGGATACTGATGGCGATCATAGCTGTCGTAACTGCTGATTATAGAACTACAAGCTGAGGTCATTAGCCAACGGGGCCACGTCCAGTAACCGAAATCCCAACTCACAGAAGTAGCTAAAGTAACTAATGTTCTCGAATGTTCTTGGTAATCCAAATAGAAAAGAGATGATCAAGCCGATAACATTGAGGATGATCGTGCAAGCGCCATGGTCTGTCATTGTGTTCAACGCGACGCCGAATGTCAAGATATGCGCGCCCATGATAAAGACCAAGACTAGTTCCTGTCCAACGGCAAGCACCTCGGGGCCTATGGGGCCTCTAATCAGCATACCGCAGTCAGCGTAACAGGTTACGGATGGATTAGCCAGCTTGAATTCACCAATCAAATGGCTTGTGTATGTAGCAATGATGCCCAGGAAGCATATGCAAAGGAGGCCAGGGACGAGACCGAGGATTGCGAGAGCTTGTGGAAGGGCAAGGACGCCTAAGGAAACGCTCTCTGCAAACATCACTAGACTACGTCAGTGAGATACTTGAATCGAGAAATGAGAGGCTTACGAGCACCAATATTCCTAGAAGTGTGAAGTCAGCTGTAGCTCACAGATAGAGTTGTCACATACACCAAGCAAAGGCATGTCTTATGTGGGAAAGCAGCAACAACTTGACAGCTTCCGTTCCAAAGCACTATAAACAGCAGGAGCGCAAGGCTTGAACACTTACCACCATCTACAAGTCTTATACTGTATCTCAGCGCTTTCCTCGTTACCAAAAGTGTTATCTTCTACTGCTGGTGCAACTTGGCCTCCAAGATCTGCTGATGATGTCAATTGAGGCCGAATGGCATGCTCTTTTGGCACCATGCTCTTGTTGGTGTGCTTGGCCATGGCTTCGTTTTGCAGAGCCTATCTCCGTAGATGCGTAGATGTTATGGTTAGGAAGCTTGTCTAGCTCGTTGTTCCGTGTGTACTGAGATCTGTGACCGATCCCTCGTAAGACGCAATTATGGCGGCTAGTTGAAGACTGCTATGTGAAATAGATATTGGAGATCGATAGGAACCGCTCATCTGTGCTAGCTAACCGTACTACGGCATGATTATACGTTTGACCGCTGCAGATTTAGTCGTGTTTGCAAGCTCCTTCGGGTCGGGAGACGCGGAGAAAGTCTGTTTGTTTCCAAGATTGGAACGAAGCGGACCACATTCGTGTCCAAATTGCAAAGCACGTTATCAAATATGATAGGATCCTCCAATATACCGTGAATCTCCATAGGATAGAAGAATCCAAAGGTGTATCTGAATCAAGTAGATGCTGCCACATACTTGGTTCATGACTATACGAGGGATATGGTGAGATCCTGCCACTGATTGTATAGGCTTGACATCGGGTAGCAAGGGGATGACACCCAAGCTTGGGGCACGATTCGCCGCCATCCAAAGAACCATTTGCGAGTGCAGGATATCTTAGAAGCCGTAGGGAGAGAGAGAGAGAGAGATGGTGATATAATGGAGATGCAACAATGGAACCTTGTCGGTCTACGATCCGGGGCTACATGCGAGGCATCATGCATAGGATGTATCATGCCGGTAAGGATCTGGGTCTCATGGTACCATAGAATCATCACTAGGGATGCAGGTACGATGGTAGAGGATGAGGCGGGGGAGAAGTCTCCCTGATTGAATGACCATGGAGGAGTAACATACGTCATCACGTGCGTTCGCGGGCAAAGCGCGAATTGCCGCTTTCCCCATCGCTCCCCACAACCCATTATCCCCACAATTGCATCCGACTGTCACACCTGTGTCATCTCATTCGCCTTGCGACACTATCCTCGCTCCTCGCACGCCATGCACTCCGACCTGGGCCTCCCGCCGACACGGGCGAGACGCAAGCGCAAGAGTACCGCATATGCCGACCATGACGGCGACGACAATGACGATGCGTCCTTCGACTACCAGTCTACGCCGCGAAAATCCAAAAAGATCGAAAGCGCTCCTGAAGTGATCGACCTTACCGGGGATTCTCCAAAGAAAATTCTCCCCAGGAAGAGAGGCAAGCGCGATGCTGATGCACCTACCGAAGAGAAGCGCGCGAGGGTCTTTCGCAAGAAGGCGCCACAAAGCTATATTGTTATAAAGGAAAGAGCTCTAACCCAGCGTCTGACAGTCCTTTCGCGCGACCGCTGCGGAAGCGATGATGTGCCTGAGGAGAAGGTTATTGTGGCAGGGTCAACGGGAAATGTCTACACGGTCTCGATCGGTCTCGTCCCAAGCTGTGACTGTCCACACGCGAAGAAGGGCAATCAATGCAAGCACATTATCTACGTCATGCTACGTGTGTTGAAAGCACGGGAGGAGGTGGCATACCAACTGGCCCTCATCAGCGCTGAGCTGCGCGTAGTCATCAAAAACGCGCCACCCATTCCAGGTGTGGAGACCGACGGCAAGAACGGCACCGAACAAGAAGGCCAGGTCGGGAATCGCAAGCCTATCGAGGGCGAATGCCCCATTTGTTACGATGAGCTCGGCGAGAACGAAGCCATTGTATACTGCAAGTCCAGCTGTGGAAACAACGTGCACAAGGCTTGCATGCAGAATTGGATCGCCGTATCAAAGGGCAAAGCGACCTGCCCATACTGTCGCGCCAAATGGGAGGCCGATATAGACTTCCAAGGCAAGCTGGGTGATGTCGATACCATGAATTTGGAGAGGAACGAGGACGGCTACGTCAACGTCGCAGGCCAACTCGGCCTCAGTGGCGAACGAGACTACTCAACCTATAACCAATACTGGGTGCGGCAACACCTGGGTCAAGGTAGGACAAGGGGCGGCTACGATTTCGAGGACGACTACTAGTCTGGGAGACTTTGCTGCACAAGGACGGATTCATCGAGCAGACAAGTGCATTTGGCGTTTAGGATACTTATACCCGGCAGTAGCAGGCACAAGGTTCTGCTCAACACTGACTCCACAACGTGCATTATATACCACATGTTTTGTGTATTCTGATCGATACATTCTCTCGTTCTCCTTGCTTTTCTTGCTGATGTCCATGTCCCGGCTTCGGCTTCGACCAGCCCATCTTGGAAATTACCAACCTTCAAGAATAGCACAAATAGTGATCGGCCACCACTGACGCGGCGAAACTCCCCCCAACAAACCCCACCCCTTCGGCCATCGCATAAGCAACAAACCCATCATGCTGACCTGAACACGTACCTGCATCCGCTCGCCTCGTAAATCGAGTCGCTGCAGCTCCACATCTCTCCCAACTATGTCAACACAATCACAACATACGGACGTCTTCGGCAAGACTAATCCCGCCCATCTGGTCAGTAGTTATTTGCGGTCCGTCCGAAGCCAAATACGAGATAAATGACGCGTCCACGGATACCACTATTCTCACGATGAGGCATCCCAGACAGCAAGTATTGATATCAAGAATGCACTATAGATCTACAAGACTGGAATGTGCTCGAGCCACCAAAGATCAACAATAATAACGCACGTCCTTTATCCAACGGATCTTGGACAGTGGTGGAAAAGGTTTGCTGGAATGTCAAAGCAAGTTGGCTTTGTTGTAGTAATTTAGCCTGCGCAGCGGTAAGTTCAAGCGATTCTAAGAGGTGGCGGAGTTAGAAGTACGGGGCTGGTTCTCCTGCGTGGTTGCGGGACCCGGAGACAAGGTATCGGTTGGCTGCAGGCTAGTTGATTAAACGTTGTACTTGTGCTACTGCAACCATGGCGCGACAAGGTGCAAGCTTTGGTACGATCATGTACAAGGATAGCGTTTGGGTGATATGCAGGTACGGTCACAGAGCTTGAATATTAAGTTTGTATCGCGGTGAATCTCCAGGCTAGCGGAGAGTCGAGCTTTGTCTTGGGTTGGAGACTAGTTGTCGAAAGTGGCCAAGAAAATATCACGAAGACAAGGGAAGACATGAGCAAGCCGCAGAAATTGAATTTTAAGAAAACTAGTTAACGCCTGGTCATTTGATAACCACAACAAAGGAAAGGTCTATGAAAAAGTCGAGTATCATCAAACGTTGCACCGTCCGGATCCAGATACCAGTCCAACAAGCATAGCGTTCTCGAAGAGTGGTTTTGAGAGTAGACAGTCAATATATTGTCCAATGTACATATCAACTGCCTAATCCAAAACTTTACATGAACAATCCATCACAAAGGAAACCACCCAACGCTCTGCCCCTGCCTGAGGGAACTTGGTACAGTAGACAGACAAGACATGCGAGAATGCGGATCAAGCGATCCTACCAAATATTCACAAACAAACGCGAAGGTCATCTACAAGAAATGCACTTCAGCGCTTAGTAGGTGCCGTAGCCGGAACCGTAACCGCTGCCAGAGCCGTAGCTGTTGTCAGGTGTAGGGGTGGCGGCAGGAGGAGTGTAAGCCTCGGTGGAGGAAGAGACGGCAGCCTCAGGGGTCTTGGAGGAGGCAGGGGCGGAGGAGGCACCGCCGTAGCCACCGCCAACGGGGTAGGCAGCGCTGGACTCAGCACCGGCAGGGACGGTGGAAGAGGGGATAGCAGTCTCGCCGGTAGGGGTGGCTACCTCAGAGACGAAAGAGAAGCTAGGGAGGACAGAGGTGGCGCTGCTGGGAACGGGAACGGCACCAGTGCCAGTGGGGTAAGCAGGCTTGGTGGAGGTCTTGAAGCCAGTGGGGCCAGCAGGGTAGGGGTTGGTGCCGTTACCGGGGACGGGGTACATGCCAGTGGGAACAGAGGGCATGCCGGAGGAAGCAGTCTGCTCAGAGGGAACCTCAGGAGTGGGAGCGGGGGTCTCGGGAGTAGCAGCAGGGTAGTCACCACCCTTGGTAACAGTGACAGTCTCCTTGGCAGTTACAGTGACAGTGACGGGAGCAGCGCAGTCCTCACCACCCTCGCTTCCAGCAGGAACGGAAGGAGTGGCGTTACCACCGGCAGGGCCAGTGGGGTAAGCACCGTTGCCACCAGCGGGTCCAGAGGGGTTGGACTCGGAGTCGGCGGGAACGTCGCCCTCACCAGTGGGAGTGGGCTTGACGGTGACGTACTTGGTGGAGGTGGAGGTAGACTTGATGGTAGAAGTGACATCCTCACCACCCTCGGGGTAGGCAGACTCGCCACCAGCAGGGCCAGTGGGGTAGGAGTTCTCGCCGCCAGCGGGGCCAGTAGCCTCAGAGGGAACCTCACCAGTAGGAGTGGGCTTGCCGACAGTGATGACGACAGTAGAGTACTGGGTAGAGGTGGAGGTGGAGGTAACCTCAGTGGTGACTGGGTGAGCAGTCGAGCCAACACCGACAGTGTAGACGAGGGTCTCGGTGTAGGTCTGGACGACCTCAGAGACGGGGTAGGAGCTGGTCATACCGGCGGTAGGGGTGGCCTGGGGAAGTTCACCCTCGGGGCAGACGGTGGTGCCGACGGCAACAACGCTGGTGACAAGCGCGGTGGAGTGAGCCGGGCAGTCAGTGACGGTAGGGGGGCAGGCAGTCTTGGTGAAGATCTGAGTGCTGTAGATGGTGGAGGTCACCATGTCGCTGACAGGGGTGGAAGAGACACCAGCGGGGCGGGATCCAGTGCCAGTGGGGTAGAGAGGGTAGCCTGTTCCGGCCATGCTGCTGGTGGCAGCCTCAGGGACGACTGAGGAGGGAACACCACCGTAGCCGCCACCGACGGGGTAAGAGCCGGAGGGGATAGCGGAGCTCATGCTGACGCCGGGAACGACGGAGCTGCTGGTGGCAGCCTCGGGGACAGCGGAAGATGGGACGCCACCGTAACCGCCACCGACAGGGTAAGAGCCGGAGGGGATAGCGGAGCTCATGCTAACACCTGGAACGGAGCTGGAGCTGGCGCCAGAGGGGACAACAGATGACATGCTGACACCGGGGACAGAGCTGGAGACACCGCCGGAGGGGACAACGGCGGAGTAGCCAGTTCCGTAGGCGGAGCTGGCAGCAGCGGTGGAGCTGATAGTGGGGATGACAGGAGTGCTGGAGGTAGCAGCCTCAGGGACGGCAGATGAGGGGACACCTCCGTAGCCGCCGCCAACTGGGTAACCAGAGCTGGCAGCAGAGCTGGTAGCAGCCTCAGGGACGGGAGAGCTGGAGCTGGCACCACCGGCAGGGGGGACGGCTCCGTAGCCACCAGCAGAGGTGGAAGGAGTGTAGGTGGCATCAGCAGGGGTGCTGGAAGTCTCGAAAGCTGGGGAAGAGGTCTGGACGTAGGGGACCGAAGAGACAACGGGGGTTGCGGAGGTGGAGGCCTCGGGGGTCTCTACGGGAGTAGCAGAGCTAACGACCGGGACGGCAGAGCTGACGATGGGAGTAGCAGAGCTGACAACGGGCACGGCAGAGCTGGATCCAGCAGGGGGCTGAGCGCCGTATCCGCCGTTGTTGGAGCCGTAGCTGTTGCCACCACCGTAGCTGTTGGAGCCGTAGCTGTTTCCTCCACCGTAGGAGTCGGTGGCACCGTATTGGCGACGGGCCTGGCGGTGGCTGCGAGCCTCAGCGGCATCGGCGGCAGCGAGAGCGGCCAAGAAGGCAACGGTAAGCTTCATCATGATGAAAGTTCAAAAAATCCTAGCTCTTAAAACTGAATGGGTATTGACGAGGGAATTCAAAGGTCCAGGCGAAACGTTGATGATCCAGGAAAGAGTGACTGGATGTTCAAAGAATGTGATGTCCGAAGACAGTGTATAGCGAGTGTGGTAAGGAAAAGTTGCCTTGGGTGAGGAGAAAAAAACACAGCGAGGGAGGGCGGTATATGAAGGCTCTGGCTGACAGTTGCAGGAAGCGGCCTAAGCACCTGGGTGGCTGCTAACGGCAGCACAGATGCGCCCAAGATGGTCGGCCCCTGGCGGGTGTTAATTTCGTTCAGGAACAACCGGCGGCAGGGGCCAGTCAGCGGCGTCGCTAGCCAGGAACAACTTCAGGGGAATGCATGAAGCTAGCCAGTCAGGAGGGCCAACGAACAACCTCGATGCATGGCAGCCGCTGGGGAATACGCCGGTCGCGAGCTGTCGTCTTTGAGAGGTGAGCCTTGATTTTGCCGTCGTTTTCGCAGCCGACGAAGCCGCTGAAGGAGGTCACGATGGTTTACCTGCTCGCCTCCCCCGTCGCGCTGGCCATGTGCGCTGGGATGGCCCTCGCATAGCCTTGTGAATCCATCTCTCTGCTTGCCGGCCGTCCCCATAGATTGCGTTTCATGGCGCTTGGCCAAAATAGAAAGCGACCATGCCGCAGATCCTCCCTGCTAGAAGCATCGACAGGAGCGGGTACCTGGCAGATGCGCGCTGTCGGTGAGCACACAACCGTGCCGAGATTCAGCGCAGACTACGCTGCTGGGCGAGACAGAATTGGACTTGCGCGGGCATGAGTGAGATTCGGCCCATTCCCCACTGCCAGCACACGGTGCGACAGGAGAGACACTGTGCCACAGACGACATCAGCTCGTGTTGAGCGCGTTCTCGTGTTTGCGGAGACGCTTGTCGATAGGCGTGGATAAGGGAGCGGTGGAGCGTTCCATGGTGTATTGGCCGTCTTTGTCCAAGCGTGGGCCATGGTGCGACGCGCGACTTGGGCCTGCCGCTTCACATCTCTGCACAAAGAGCCCCGATGTGACTTCATCGCCGTGGAGCCTGAATCGTCGACGCGCAATCTAGACTATCGCATTCTGAAGCTTCTAGTCGACATCGCGATCCTTCGTCAAGTCGTATCGACTTCAACGGTCCGCCAAACGTCAAGCCACTGTGCCACACATTGTTTCTTCGGCGGGCCGCGCTCGTCTGTCCTGCTTCGGCGTATAGCAAGGCCACGCCCATGCCATGTGCACTTGAGACATGCCACCGCTGTCAGTGCATTTCCGCATAATACACAGCCACAACCACCTTCGAATCTGTAATCGCGACTACTTCCTCCGTCTCAGTCTGTCGCAAGTCTTCCATTTGCCTGAATGCCTTCAACACAATGACTTTGGTCCTCACCGCCGGGATTCCAGTACCGTGTCCACAGCATGTACGATGCTGGACCGACGTGGAACTGGCGACCGGCTCGTAAGATTGATGAGCTTCCCCGCCTAGTCCCTGCAAAAGCTTGTGCCCTCGAAACGAGCGACACGAGCATGTTCTCGACTCTCGACGAACGTCGACTGGTCTCTCGGAAATGAGGCCCATCGTTCAACTGTTTCCGGTTCGTTTCTCTCGTCTGTGTCGATGTTGCGTTTGGCTGGCCACCCGTCCGCAATGTCACTGTTGAGGCTTGTCTTGCGCCAAGGCGTGGGAAGTAAATGAAGCAATATTGCTGAAGCTGAACATGAAAGTTGTCAAACACAAAGCGGCGCACACAATGCCCAAGTGTAAAATGTGCGAGCGCGATCAAGTGCTAAAAGAAACTCCAGAGAAGGAAACGACAATCGCAGTCTCACGTCTACCAGTCGACATGCCTAGCAGCATCCGCGGAACGGGCTCTCTACTACACGTTGTCCTCGAGGCAAGCACCACTGACTGCGGCCGCATGTTTTCGCGACTTCTGTATACCATCTCAGAATGAATGCCATACACTTCTGCCCCGCAGCGCCACATGAAACATGCATTCTCCTCCATTCCTTCCCTCGCCCGTATCCCATCACATCATACCCATCTGCTCGGATTACAAACCCGTCGCCCGCATCAACAGCCCATACTAAGCCTTTCCTTCTTATCAAACTTCTTACATGGCCCGTCTTCGTCAATCTGCATTGGCGGATCGCGCCGTGATTCGAAACCATCGCTTGCTTGAAACGAAACGTCAGCCCTACCAGGCTATCCCAACGGCTACCTAGGCACATCTGCGACTCCAACTTCACCTGTTCTTTTCGTGCCTCAGGCTGTTCAAGGCATTAAAGTGCCAAGATATAGTGGGTATGAGGGGTGCAGGTATCCACGATGTTACAACTTCTACTGCTTCTAGTAGATGGAGTCTAGGTCTTCCACCGGCTTAATGGCTAATGTGCGGGGTCGATGACGAGGTCAACATCCCAAGGTGCGTTTCGAGGTAAATTCTACATTGCAATCTTGAAGTCATGGTACGAGCCGATTGTTTTGTTAAGATTGCTTCATGAAGTCAACTTATCTCACGGAGCATTGACAGTGAGTCACGCAATTGCTGAACTTATGACGTTGAACACGAGGTGCTAGATTGGGTAGTCCACAGATACGTCCTACTTGGTTCCGCTTCGCAAAGCCTGCCATGTTTTCGTACCGTCTTTTCCACTGCAAGGCACTATCACCAATGTGTCGAGAGTCGTCTCGACCAGTATCACGCAAACGTACGGCCCAGAGTCCATACACAAGATATCTTCCTCCAGTGACATACAGGTCTAAGAGTGTATAGCAGACTCTTGTCCCTAATGCTGCCCGTTTCCATCCAGACACTTGCGCTGACCTGCCTTTGCCCGCGTATGCGCGCCATCCTTGCCCGGGTTCTTTTTTGTTCAAGGAAAAGAAAATACAAGCCACCGTGATCGATAACATAGCATGGGAGAAGAATATCTAGCACCGAGGTTCCAGTATCACGTTCAGCTACGAAATTACTGACTCTGTTGTTGCTTTGGTGAACTACTGCTGCTGTGCATTTGGTGCTTGTGATCAAAGAGTAAGACTTTTTCCCATTGTTTTCTACAGTCGCACCACGGAATGCCTCACTGCCATCATTTTCCTCAATGCCGCTGCATCATAGCACACTGGTCAGGATAACGCAATATCAAACAAATCGCACAAAGTTGCGTTTTAGATCTACTGCCACACATCCGTGCGAACTTGACCATGGTTTGGTGCTGCGCAGTAGTCGTGTGTATCTGAGTACTTTATCGCGAAATGATGATGATAATGATGTCCGGTTCAACACTAGAGACACTGGCGTCAAAGGAAAGTTACAATCCAAAGAAAGGCAAGTGTAGAGACTGTATCTATCGTAGTTCGGGGTAACAATTGACTAGTAAGATGCCCATCTGGCCTTCAGACGGGGGGCTCACGCTTAGCGCTTTCAAATGAGCTGAACGCCGCAATCCGTGTCGGAAGGAGGGCTAATGCGAGCACGTTTATGGGTGAATGATCCATCATTATTGTCAATTCATCATGTGTCTGTTCCGTAAACCCTGACTATATCTACGTATATAGAACCGTTAGTAAAATGTACTGTGCGTCCGCGATTGGAGTTGTCAGTAGAAAGACAGTACTTGCAATTGAAACCGTTCCATACATTAACAGGTGAGCTGGGGATGACAACGCTACTGCATGAGTTGTCACTGTAGATCCGCATTACTGCCGATTGTCAACACGTTCGTCAAGGAGAATCTATCGAGGCTGTTAATTTGCAGATGTTATTGGCATTGTTGCCCAAGGCGATCGTGGCTATGACTCGCGAGGCGAGAAGCCCGAAGGCTACGACAATGGTAGAGATGGATTGCATGTTTGTAATTGAGAGGTGGAGAGCTTGGTTTGCGTCGAAGATGAGATTGGTTGAAGTGATGAGACTGATTTGAGTTTGCGACCGGGCACGTTTTGATACGGCTTTCCGTCATCGGGTTGCACATGCTAGTACCGTACAGCGTACTTGAATCTTAACAAGGCCGCTTCATGTTGCTTATGTAGACAAGAGAGTAAAACCTTCCTGCAGTCGAAGAATTTGGGTTATGAAACAAAGCAAGAAGGATTTCGTTGAAAGTACTTGTAGCAGGTAAATGCTTGGACAGTAAGAGGTCAACATCCCTTGAAACTCACACGTACCCCCATGACTGGTAGACGAGGCAGGTGCTAGACGATTGGCGCCAGCAGTTGTGGGCTTTCCGTGGTTGATCAGTGTCATCTACGAAGAAGAAACCTGTTAGTCAGTGGTGTGCTAAAAGAGGACCTATGGAGCTCTGAACGCCCGTACTACTTGCAGCACTCTCAATCATTTGCACATGATGATGGATGGAGATATAGTCTCCATCTTGGGTATGCGATTCGTATCCAGACGACTAGTGCCTAGGTAATAGGCACACTTGTCACAAGCCACAACAAGTAGGTAGGCAAATACGTTACCTAGGTATCCTGTCTCTTGCTTGCCTTTCTACTAGCATGTCGGTGAGTACTTCCAGGGTGATTGGTGGTGAGTGCAATGTGCAGTAAAGAGAGCTTTGTGGCAAGCATTCACTATATCAAAGACAGAATCTAAATATCTCTTTAGAGCATATGTAGGTAGTACTCTTTCTTGATGCAATAAAGCGTATTGAGATATTTGTAGATATATAAAGATCAATAGTATTATAGACTTCTATATCTGCTTTCTAAGTTCCTTTGTCAGGGACTACCTCGGTAGTAGGACTGATTATTTCTATACCTGTTTGATTTTCCCCCGTATGTGGTGCACTCAAGGTTCCGTTCAGCGTTGCCCCACCACGGACGCACAGACCCGACATCACCGCAGGACCGCCTGATATTCGAAAACAGCGTTCAGACTCCAAAACCACAACTTCTTCCTCAAGCGACTGGGCTACGCCAGAAGTCTTAATGAAAAAGGTAGGTTCGCGTCAGCTCCCGATAGTGCGGATAGAAGCGACACTGTGCCGACAAGTATGAGCAAGCCCAGTGACTTGTCAGCTGGTTTCAAAAATAAGAATAATCTTGAATTGGTCCGTAGACCAGTTTCAGAGATTAAACTGAAAAGAACAGATACTACACTTGATCTAAGCCAAAAGGCAAAGAGAGCTGCCGAACAAACGAAGGGCCGGAGGAAGGCCAGTTTATATAGACTCTGGAAAGCTCTGAAAGACGCTAGTGTTCTAGTCTCGCACCAGGCGTTGCCGGGCCAATGATGACGTAAAGAGCCGTAAAGAATCGAAAAGCTGGACCGGATAATGTGGAACGGTAGGCGGTAACGGCGAAATTCTACGTTGTGTGGGTCAGGCAGAGGCAAAATGACTCTGATTCGATAGGGAGGGTCCGCAAGGAGCCGAAATTCCGTTGTGCATTGAGCCGTATTGCACAACGTGTGCATAGTTATGTTACCCTGGGCTATTCTAGTGATCGACGAGTAATTTGCAACTAGAACAGCACTGGAGCACCTCGTATCTTGCCGGCTGAGTGAGCGTACCATTGCTCTGCTGTGAGATGACCTTCCTGTGTGCCACTACTCGCAAGTTCAAGCTGAAAGAACAAGTAAAATGCCGGATTGGGGATGTAGCATAGTGCATGTAGGTATCTGCCTAGGCACGCAGGGCAAAAGAGCTTTTGTGGCAGAACAGATACCGTTCTACGTAGGCACCTTTGTGGGTAGCATTGGCATCGTCATCTCCCACGTGCGAGCGTATTGCGAGACCGTATTGGGTTTTTATCAGATTGGCGTACCACGGTCAGTAAAGAGACCCTAGTCGATACCCACGGATAGGTCGTAATATATGGAAGTTACATGTAGGCGACGCTACGACCTGCCAAATTCGTAATCTTCGCGCGGAAACAGTACCTAGGTACGCTGCAAGAATTTCGCACTTGATCAGAGAATCCATAACGAGTGGAAGCTTTGGAGGACATACCTGGTAATCTATTAGTTACCATATAATATGTAATGGTTGACCTCGGGAAGCTGTTCATTGGTATCTAAGTAAGACCAAAAGAAACCCTTATGGTCGTGGTCCAAACCTCATAATAGGCATTGCTTGTCTATCGGAGGCGTCACATCTCTTGCTAGAGGTACTCCTCTCATAGGTACTTGATTAAAATTTACATTTGTTGCTCGTCTTAGCTTACTAAAAGCTAACTAATTGTACCAAGTTGTTTGTATTAGCAGGCAAACGAAGGCGCGCTTTTCTTCGTGTTCGTAAATTACTACATTGGGACAGGCCGACGCACAACGCCTGCCCATTCTCTGACTAGCGAGGTTCGATGTATAGCTCACGGAGGGTTACGTAGCCCTATGGCATGGTGTATCGCATTCGGTAGATTCGTATAGCCATACAGAGGCCCAGTCTTGCACGTACCGAGAGCGTTAGCATCGGCGTTCCTACAGTCAATCTGGACTTCACTGCTCTTAGAGTGGTCACATACACATTCTCATGCACGCCGAGGCCATGGAACTGCCCCGTGGTCAAGATATATGACCAGCCTGATCAATGTAACGCTAATGGTGTGCCGTCTACTGTAGATGACAAGCGGCTCGCGACCGACAAGCGGCTCGCGACCGACAAGCATCTCCTCACGTCCTCGTTGGAGACATGCAGGAACGAGAACAACCTTGGAACTTTAAAATCGATATAATTGCAAGGCTAAATCCAAAGATGCCTTAGCTGTGGCCCCCAATGACATCAGGACCAATACTCCGTGGTTTGAGTGACTGCGGGGTCGAGCATAGTGCATACCTAGGTAGCTGGTAGGGTTATAACACAAATGGATAGCATCAGGTGCAGATGTCGTAGATATAGACGCCCCCTTTTTTGGACTATGAACACAATCTTATTAGCAAGAGCGCGGGCACAACCTGTCTACTTTAGACAATAATATCGCCTGGTGGTAGTCGCATGATCTCTAATCCAGTAACGGGTATGTGGTCAAGCACATCAAGTGGTCTGCGCACTAGTCTTTTTGTCTCGCGAGCTCTTTCCTGGACCACGGTATGATAGTGGTCACTTCTTCGTTCTGTTCTGGAAGCTCCTTTCCTATTCGCCATGTTTTCTTAGGTTCCTTCTCGAACCATGGTTGCATAGGCAACTGTCTAGTATAGAAAGATCACAACGCACTCTTCCACACTTCTTCTTTATCCACCAAAGCTAGTAAGTTTCACTCCCCTATTAATAACATTTTTATGAAAGCTGTGCGATCACCCAAAACAGGTACACACAAGCAAACGACCCCATGGATACTGTCGCCCAAGGTTGGACCAACGTGAGGCCGGAGGAGGATGGCCAACGCTTCACAGAGCGCTCCGCTGAGCGCCGGCAACTCTTTCTGAAACTCCAATCACTCCACCCCCAACCGATATTTCCTTCGATTACCTGGGCGTTTCTCCAGATCGCCGATATCGAAGTAATCCGGGAGGCGGTTCAGAGCCATTGGAGCAGGCAATTATTCGCAGACCGCGAATATGGCCTCGTCACAGAAAAAAAAGCGTTGGACACAATTCTACTCTGGTCTCAGAAACAACCCAGGAAAGACCCGACAGCAACAAGTGCAACGTCGACACACTCGCAATCCAAGACAGTCTCCAACCAACCACCCTCGAAATCTCGCCTTCTCAATGCCAACGTACTAGCCGGATCCAAGCGAACTCGATCCGGACATATACTTGGTGGCCTAGAATACAGTGTTGGTCGACACGATGGCGTTCGGTCAAACTGTAAGAAGCGGGATGGATACCTTTGCGCGGTCTCGAGGATGGCGGAAATCGACGCCGCCCATATTTACCCATGGTGCGGCCTTGGAGGCCAGAATGAGGAGCGAGTGGTGAGATTCTGGGACACTCTGAAGATGTTCTGGAAAGCAGAACTAGTGGAGAGTTGGCGTAGTAAGTTGTTTGTGGACGCTAATAATCCAAATCGAGGAACGGAGACAGTGGAGAACATGATCTCCCTCTCGGCCCTCCTGCACCGGTATCACTCCGCTGCCCGATTTGCGCTCCGACCGATACAACTGTCAGACGACAAGACAAAACTCGAACTCGAGTTCCACTGGCTTGTTGTTGAAGGGCGCAAACGCCAGGATGAGGTGAATATCATGGATGAACCTTTGTCTTCGGCCGGCCGACTTTCGGCTGGCAGGGGTTACGGCCCACTCGATCGGATTGATCCCAACAACGACACTATCCGCATTCCACTAGTCAGCGGAACTAGATTCACAATGTCGACCGATGATCCAGTCCAGCGACCCCTCCCAGATACAGGCCTCTTGACATTGCAGTGGCACCTTCAACGTGTCCTTGCCATGTCCGGAGCGGCTGAGTGGACGGAGGAGGATTTCGGCAACGACGATGATGATGACGACCAGGACGGACAAGGCGTTACATCTTGCGATAACGTGGAAAACTGGCTCCAGAACGTCGAGCCTCCGGAGAATCATCGTCCAAGCCAAATCTCTCGAGAAAGCGATTCGGAAGACAGCGTAGATGGTTCGTTTGAATAAACGATATCTGCCCTAAGCATCTTTAATCAAAAATCTCAAACTCCCTTCATATGCTAAACGGAATATACAGGAGCCCCTCCGCAAAAGCAAGCCAAACGTCGAGATTTGGGCTTTCCTTCCCCTCCGAGCTCGGATATGAACTTCTCTGAACGCCCCGACTGTGCGAGCAAGATAACCTTGACGACTTTGCCTCAACTCGGGCCCACGGCCACAAAGTTATCAAGCGAGTTCTGCCGAGTCGGTGGTGAAGAGAATAAGGAGCCTAGTCTGCGACACTTGCGAGGGGTTCCGACACTTCAGAGATCCCGCCGGCGTAGCATATGAAGTAAGTCCTTGGGGCCGTTTGCTTACTGTGTACATGTTTTGTCTCGCGCGGGGTTTTTGGCTTCGGCTGTTTCCCCGTAAAAAAAAACCGGGAGCCAAAACCCTACTCTTACCTCCCCGAGTCACGTCGTCAGCTCACACTGATTGGCGTGCGGTGGCTCCTGGAAACTAGTGTGGCTTGTACACCTAGGCTGACAAGAGGGGTGATGTTTGTGTTTTATGGGTCGACTGTGAGTCGGCATAGAGCTATCTCAAAGACTCTTGCCATCAGCTGACACTGGGTACTTGAATTTTTGCTACTGGTGGTTTCACGACAACAGTAGGCAATCATTTCTCGCTTCGCTACTAAAACGAACAGCGTTCAATCAGCTTTTCCGGCACGACTAAATACCGACTGGATACGTACAGTGGAAGAGGCATGGATTCAGAAAAAGGCTCGCAGTCTCTCACGGTATCAACTCTAGATCATTACAAATTCACACTCATTTTCACTCACGTCTTCTCTAACTCTCCTCTTGTATCCATCTTCTGCTACCACCACACACCACGCCTTGATCCCTCCTCAACCTCAAACCCAACCCTCACTCACGAACTACAACCTTGATGCCCCACCAGCACTTCATTCTCCCCCTCACCTGCGCAACGCCCAACTCTACTTCCGCGATCCTAAAACACATTCTCATTCCCACACCGAAGCTCTCTCGTCCACTCTATACCCTCTTCCCCGTCCTCGCTCGTAACAGCCGTGTGTCCGACTTCTCCCACTTGAAAGAGAAAAAACCTGGCCACGCATATTTTTGCGAACTGCATGTCTGGTCAGGAATTTTACTATCGTCAACTGAAAGATCTTACCTCGCTACCCACTCCACTTCTAGTCCAGGAACGACTTTCGAAATCTAGAACTCTGAGATCTTTGCAATGAGATGATGCCGATGTGTCCGAATGCACTGACCGATTCGTACCTTCCTTTGCTTCGGTGAACAAGTGCCTTGTATGTTCCCAAAATTGACACTGAGGTCATATGATAGCGGTGACGGAACCATTTTCTACCTTTTTATGATCTAAGAAAGCTCCCGCGGCAAAATGTCCATGCAGATAGATGAACCAGCATATCTCCTGACACACTAGATTTGAATAAGGACTTCATGCCACAATTGGAGAACAAGCATTTAGCGCTTCGAAGCTTTGTTAGGGCGTGATCGCTCTTCTCTATGACGATGCATTGCGATTCACTCCCTCACGTCTTAAGAGTTGCGAGCCACTAGTCGTAAATCTTCACGGACTTCCCACCCTTCAACACCAGCCTACCGTTCTTCTTCTTCTTTGAACTCTCTTCTTCAGCCGCCTCGAGCTTCTTGCGAGATTCTGCAATCTTTCTCTCATCAAATGCACCCTGAAGATCCTCGCTGTCTATGTAAGACTGTGCAAATGACCAAGCGTTATCATATACATTTAACTTGCTATGTACAGTCAGAGATAACGAGCAGGACTGCCCATGATAGTAATCACGGTGAGAGTGGCTGGCGACTTGATGTACTTATGTACGCACGAAGAACAAGATTTCAGGCGAGATGGTACGTGATCCATTGCATTACCATGGTGCTGGGTACCAACATCTCAACGTTCCAGCATCTCAGCATCCCTCACACTAATATACCCAACGCCACTATCGCTATGCATAATCTCGTACCACGACACAAACGCCTTACCAATGCTGCCATCAATAATTACATATTACAGATCCCATGGACTCCCAATGAGATAAGACCTGCCGGTTTGTGCGCTCCTTCATGAAGACGTAGAGCACATTGCTCACGATCTTCCCAATAACCCTGAAAACCAATTCGCAAGGTTCTTCCCACCCATACTGGGGGTAAATGAAAGTACGCTATCTGCATCTCTATCTCTGTCGCTGCCACTCTCCTGAAGACTGTCTGTACTGCTGCTTTCAGGCGTATGCGGATTGGCATCTAACGTCTTATGCGAGCCAGATTTGATCACCCTGGAAGAAACGTGTGGGAAGGTCATGCCGCGTGAGCGAGGCGACGATGCATCTAGGCTGAGCCTTCCTCGATCATCAAAGCTGCGGGAAGTTTTAGGTGTTCGGTGCGACTGAAAGGTTCTGGGCGTTCCACCTCGTGAGATTGAGAGTCGTGGCCCAAAGACCGAAGAGTGGATAGGGGAGGACGTATCCGTATCACACGATGTGAATGGCGATGTGATAGCTATTGGTATATTGCGATGGGTCCCAAACGTATTGCTTAGTAGCGTAGACGTCGGGACATGGTCTGTCTCGGATATTGAAGGGGTTTCATCGGCTCGTGCATCGTTGTTGACCACTCTAATGGTTGAAGTAAGAGGGCTGTCACTCTCCATAATTGTAGACGTCGTCGTCGCTATTGTTGGATCCAATCCCGTTGCCGCTGCAAGTTTGGTTTGCATCGACAAGGGAACACCGGCGGTCTTAACCCAAGGACGGACTGTGAACTGTCTTTTGGGAAGATCTAAGACGAAAGATCAGCTCAAACACAAAAGGAAAGGCTAAAAATAGATGGCAGGTGTCTAGGCAGCACCACCTTCGTCTGCCTTGGCCTCCTCTGGGTTTTCTGCTGGGGCTTCAGCCTCTCCATTCTGGCCTTCAGCACCGTCGCCGTTGGTCGCTGCCGCCGCCGCGGCAGCGGCTTCAGCCTCTCTCTGCTGTTTCTCCGCTTTGGCTCGTTGTCTTGCAGCTTCCCGCTCAAAGTTCTCCTTTCGCGCGCGCTCGTCTTTCGCTTTGCGGAGGCGCTCTGCCTCCTCGACGCCGCCACTCTTCTTGAGCTTGCCCTCCTCGACAAAGTTTCCAAGCTCGCGCTTGAACTCATCATCGTTCCTAGTCTCAAGATCACGCTGTCGCGCCTTCTCAGCCCGCTCAATGGCCTCAAGCCTGCCTTCGTGGTTCGGCTGCAGGGCTTTGACTTCGCCAAGCACACCATCTCTCGCCTGACGTGGGTCCACGGCTTTGTCAAGAGCAACCGCATTGAGCATGTTGCGGCCACTAGCGGAGCGCATCCCCTTTCCAGCCTCTTTCTCACTTTCAAGATTCTGCTGTTTGGTCGCCTGCTCAACCAGTTCAAGTGTTTGTGCTGCCTTTTCGAGATCGTCCTGCAAATCGGCCGCCAATTCTTCCTGCATGGTGAGCATGTCTCGCTCTTCGCATACAGTCTGTAATTCCTGTTCCCAGATCTTGGTCCAGAGGGGCTTCTCTTTAGCGAGGAGATCCTGCAATTTCTTGAGCTCTGCAGTAGCAGTCGAAAGATCCTTCGCAGTAGTCTCCAGCTGACGAGGAAGAGGTCGCACACCACGTAGGACCACGTCCTTTCTGAGATCCTCAACAAGATCCTGCAGGTCGTCCACCCTGTTAACAATCTTCTCTGAGTCGTCCTGCAGGGCCTTTTTCCCGGTGTTGATGTAAGCGCGACCGCTGTCTCCATCAAGCGAGGGCAAGGCAGCCTTTATAGCAGTCGATTTGACAGCACTAGCTTTTGTGCGTATCGTTGACATGCTAGCCTGTATGTCCGACACAAATGATGAATAGGTCTGTCGAACGACTGCCAGATCACGACGCAGCGACTGGACCTCGCTAAGTTGGGTGGCCGAAGTAACATTGTCAGGGGAAGGCGCGCCTATTGCAATAGGGCGAGAAGGAAGTAGTGCGGAGTTGCGAGCTGAAGAGAGAGGCGCCGCGGAAATCCCAGCGATCTCCTTCGTTGTTTGTTGTTGACGTTCGGCCACTCGTTGTATGGTTGCCTGCTGATCTTCGACTACTGTCTTTATGCTCTCAACAAGTTTGCTGAGTCCGCCAAACTTATCGTCGATGTGACTTTTTACTTCGTCGAGTTGTTCTACGTTTAGGACGAGCACGGATCTATCTTTGATGTCGTGGATATCCTCGAGCTCGTACCGTACGCCAGAAACAGGATCCTGGATGTGGATCTCGGGCAGATCGCCGTAACGGTGGGTATCCCAGGCAAACTTCTCGATGAAAGCAAGCTGTAGCCGAGCGGAGGAGAGCTCAGCACCGTCTGTGAAGACATATTTTTTGATTTTGCTTTTATATTGAAGGAATAAGGTAAGCTCTTTTCCTTGCTGAGGCGATTGCTCTGGGATGAACTGTGAAGGTTGTGGAGAAGGTGTCTTGGCTCTGTAAGAGCTGTTGCGGCTGGCTGTAGGTCTGGATGGTTCTTCTTTCACTGGCGATGCAGATCCAAGCTCAGCCGGCTCTGATAATGGACCGTTCAAAGTAGCACCTAGTGAAAGTTGATCGCTTTCCGGGAATCGTGGCTGTGCGAGCTTGTCGTCTGGTGTCTTTTGAACGGGACTGTCTTCGGGCCCATTCTCTCTAGGTGGTAGAATGCTCGGTGCGGTGCTCTGAGAACTTTCCTCGGATATGCGTCTTTCGTTGGGCTGATCGAAAGAAAACTTGGTTTCGACAGCGGGTCTCTGTTGCGTTAAACTCTGATTCGACCGCTGGCGGTTGTGCATCATGGATGCTCTCGTTCGAACTGCATTCATGGATTCGCGTACATCCCGTCCCCTATTCGGTATGGGCGAATTCTGCACTGGTGGAAGTGGAATGCCATTTGTTCCAAGATGCTTCTGGATCTGGTATGCTGAAAATCGGCGTGAAGCCCTGCGTTCAAGCTCACCACCTCTTTGCAATGCTGCCAGCGCATCTTCCTGTTTCGGTGGGGGTGGAGGTGGAGGGAAGTCGACAGGGTAGTTGGGTCGCGGAGGGTCGGGCGTCTTGGGCATGGCATCGTCTGCTGGATACGGAGCAACGACAGGCGTCTGCTGAGCAGTGCCGCTCGATATGGACGAGTCTGTAGAGAGCTGGCTTGCGGCGGTCGAGCGGTTCGCTTTCGGGTTCGAAGGGAGAGCATCGTACTTGCTTGGAGAGGCCCGCCCTCCAGCTACCGAAGATGAACGCGGTGGAAGATCGGGGCCCCCAAACGCTGGGCTGTCACCTCTCGAGGGGAGCCTTTGACTTGCTGATCTTGGCTGTTGATGTTCCTCAACCTCACCACTGCTCCCAACGCTGCCCTGGCGCGGGCTACCACCGCCGTTGAGAGAGCCGTCTCTTCCTGTGCGCTGCCGTAACCGCTGTTGCTTCTTCTTCAGGCCGTGGAGCAGGTTTATTATGATGTCTCGTATCCGCGGGAGGAAATTGTCGAGGCTGGCTTGCGATGCTTCCTGGCTCAGCGTCTCCTCTAGTATGCCACGCAGTAACTCGGGGACGTTTCCGAGGTCGTTGGTATCGACGCCGATTGCGTTGAAGGCGCGTGACGCGATGTTGAATTCATAGCCCAGACGCACGTAGACGTCGGAGACCTCGCTCTCGGTGGCTGTCCCGCGCGACCATAGCGTCAACGTCTCTGCAGCGTGTTAGCAGGTGTTGTATGCGGGGCTGCATGCGCCGTGGACGGACCGAGGAGCTGCTTTGTGGCGACGAGCAGATGTGTGACGGACTTTTCTATCTGCGAGAGCTGCTGCTGGGGCTGCATTTCATCGGTGGTCAGTGGCTGTTGTTTGGTGTTGGGCGCGGAGAGAGCGAGAGTGAGGGAGAGCCCATGTTGCTGCACGTACATTCTTGGGCGCACGGCGTGAAGACCCCTGAGACGAGCGGACAGAAGACGACTCCTCTGTCATGTTGCCGGATTGGTGTGGCGCAGGTGTGCGGCGTCAACAGCAGAGTGAAGGGCCGGACTGGGAGCGCGAAGGCACGACGACACTCTATCCCGGGCAGCAAGCAGTGTTGGCGACCACGTTGGGTGCACCGACGTCTGAGATGTCTGGGGCGAGCTAACACGAGAGTGGCTGGGCGGCACGTGGAGCAGTCTCACCTCCAACCTCGTAGAATTGTTTATTCCATGTGCCAAACGTCTCTACGTCATGGGCGGCGACAAGAGGTTTGTTGTGGGAAATGGTGCAGCGTGGCTTTGGTGTTGGCCGGCGAGCAGCCTACCATGGAACATGTCATGCTCCGTCGCCCAGCATACGCTTCTGACCTGAGTCTGCCATGTAGCCACCACGGCAGCTGCAGACCAGCGCAGACTACGGCCGGCGTCCGGCCTATCTTCGCGCTACTCGATCCAGCTGCTGCTGCTGGGTGCGTGGTTGACTGGGGTAACCATTGTGTGCATGCACCTCTAGTATGCTTGGAGCACAACGAACAGGTGTTGCCCCGTAATTGTAGATGCCCTCTCTGCGTCTTCTGCTCGACGTGGGCGCGCCTTGGACGCCAAAAGCATGTGCAGAGCAGAGTGAGGCGCGACGTCTAGCCTACGACAACGACGCTCTTGGCGGCGAGCGCAGCCCTGGACAGGCCACGATCAATTGTCACCGCTGTCTCGCTCCCACCGTCTCCTCTATTCATCTCGCGCGCCATCCTGCGGCCTGCCTGACCGTTGCGCTCTCGTGCCGTCAACCGAGCATTCACGGCTACTGCCTGAGGCTGGCCTAGTTCCCGCACCTTGCACTTGTGTTTCATCCAGGCGATCCGCTTGGCGTTGCACCTCACTCTTGACCTCTGGCTGCTGTTCGGGCACAGCCTCCTATACCAAGTCACCACCCCAACTCCGCCGTCCGGCTGCCCCCTTCCAAAGCTCGTCGACTCTGCGCCTGCTGCCGCATTGAGCGTCCTGCGCTACTCTCACCCTAGAGTTGGAGCTCCTTCCTCCCCCGCCCATCGCTCCTTCTCCCGCAACCACAAACCGAACCACCGACCCACGCTACTGAGCTCGCCCGCGCTTCCCTCTCCCCATCCATGTCCGCTGCCGCTGCGACTCCGAATACCTCCTCCAATGCTCTAAACCCCGCCTCCAATTCCGCCAGGCAACTGAAGATGAGCACTGCGGCCAAAGGCATCGACGCACAGCGAAAGCCCGGAAGCCCCATCGACGGCGGTCACAAGTAAGCTCATGCTCCTTACACCTTCCACATGAACATTTCCCCTGCCTCCTTGCCCCGCTTGCTCCTTGTCCAAGAGCCTGCTTGCATGCCTCGAGTGCTTCCACAATGCGGCATATTCTCGTGTGACGTGCCGTCGGTCACATGGAGTCACGGTGCGACTACCCTGTCCACTAGACGGCTCCCTCCTCGTGCATTGTGCTCAATTGCCTTACATCACCATGTTCTTTCTTCCACATCACCCCATCCACCTGCACCTGGTCCAATGCTGACTTGGCGACTTGCAGAAAACCTCCCGCCAAATCGGCATGGACCCAGGGCACCAATCCCATCACCCAGCGCCCGACTCACTCTCCCACCCCCAACGGTGCTGTCAACTCACCTAAGCCCCCACAGAGCTCGACGGCTGCCTCCGCCGACAACGCTTCCGCCATGAGGCACCTCAGCGACCGCATGATGTATCTGCTGGCCAACCTCACTGTAAGTGCCAGCTGGCTCTCAATGCAGCACGAGTGCGCAAGACTGACCATCACAAACAGGGGCTCCCGGGCATCATCACACTTAAGAATGGCGACAAGTACTCCGGTGTGCTCTCAGGCACCTCACTAGATCCTAGCGAGTTACGATATGTCTTCAAGATGGTCAAGAAGCTCTTGCCCACGAGCAACGCTCAGACCAACGGTGCTAGCCAGTCATCCGACGACTACGTTGGCTCAGGGGACTACCACGTAATGTCATTTGACATGAGCGACGTGGCTGATTTCAATGTCAACAACGTGGTTCTCGACAAGTCCCAACTGAAGGGCCCGAATGGTAAGTGCCAGAATCTAAAACTAATCCGCATGCCACGACTAACAAAGGAGGCGCTTCTGGCTTCCGCACTGACACCGACATTTCTGGCAAGCTCGAGCTCCGCGAGCGCAACCTCCAGAAATGGGAACCATCCGAGGTAGATCCCAACATGACTCTTGAATCCACTGGACGGACCGGCGATTGGGATCAGTTTGCCACTAATGAGCGCATGTTCGGCGTGAAGAGCAACTACGACGAGAACCTGTACACGACTACAATTAACAAGAACGACCCACAGTATGCGGAACGGGCCGCCCGCGCTGAGAAGATCGCTCGAGAGATTGAGGGCAGTAGCGCAACCAACTCACACGTTCGCGAAGAGCGAGGAGGATACACTGCGGCCGACGACAACGGCGACGAAGAGGACAAATACAGTGGAGTACGACGAGACTTCCCAAATTTGTCAAGCGGCCAGTCCAACCGATACACCCCACCCGCACGACGTGCCCCCGCCCCTGAAGCGACAGTGCCTGGCGCGCCAGTAGACCCTGCAATAATCTCATCCTCTGTTGCACGACCTGTCTCGCAGTCGACACAACGTGCTGCAAGTCCCGCAAAGCCAGCAGCTGGTACACTTGAGCCTACGAAAGTCCCGGAAGTCGTTAACGATACTTCCAAGGCGCCATCAAAACCCACTGATACGCACAAGGCTATCACGGAGCAATTGCAGAAGCCAACTAATATGATCAAGTCGGGCGTCGCTGCCATCCCTCCTAGGAAAGCTGGACGGCCACATGATGCCACTACAAACGTTGAGCACGATCTTCTCGATTCGTTCAAGCAATTTTCGGCTGCTGAAAAATTACGCATTTCCGACCGCCAGAGGCAGTTTGCTCGAGAGAACAAGGCTGTAAAGCTTAACGATCTCAAGAAGTTTGCGCTCAATTTCAAGTTGAGCACGCCTGTACCGTCAGATCTTGTGCCCATACTCGCTAAGGACGAGACGAAGCAGCAAGCCATCGTTGACAAGGCCAACCGACAAGCTCAAGAGATGAAGACTACATCTCCGAAAGCATCAAGCAGTATTGCTGACCCAAAGGCTGCTGCACGCTCTGTTGTGAAGCCTGAAACCACTCAAGCCTCTCCTAGCGCCAACGTAGACCGTCAACAAAACCAACGTCCCCGACCAGGGCAACCAGCCTATACATCTGCTAGTATGCGGGGCTCTCACCAGAACATGAACCAGATTCCTCCTCGTAACCAGGGACTTCTTAGCACTCGTTTACAGATGAACCACCAGCAGCACAAGCAGCAAGGTGCTGTGCCCTATAACGGTGTTCCTCAACCGATACCAGCTCAGGACATGCGCATCCCACCTACTGGTCCTTCGCAGCCTTCGAGCGGTGCCCAGACACCTTCTTCCAGTGTATCTACGAGGTTCAACGTCCGCGCTCATGAGTTCAAGCCGAACCCGGCTGCCAGTACCTTCCAGCCTGGCGGAACTCCCAGTGCAACCTCTAGCCCTAGGCCGAACTCTTCAAGACAAGAAGTACGCAAGCCTCCTGTCACAAACTTCTTCACTGGCCAACGGCCCACTGTGAAAGCGCTGGATGGACCGACAACCTTCAATGCCATCGGACGCCTCGAGAAGGAAGCCCAATCGAGTGATAAGCCCCATCACTCCGATATTGCGCCTCCGTATAAGACACCTCCTACGTGGGACTTCCCTTCTTCGAACACACATAAGGGATACGAGCAACTGTTCGACCATGCCCCTCCGCCCGCACCGTTGTCGGTACCACAACACGTTATGGCCAATGGTCCTATGCCTCATCAGCATCAATTACCACCTCATCTTCAGGGCGCCCAAGGTATGGCACAAGGGCCGGCAGCTCAACACACGCCTCGTGGACCACCAATACAGCCGCATCTTGGCCAGGACCAGCATCATTTCGGGGGTCAACACATGCAGTATTCGCATTCGACGTCATCGGTTCAACCTTCACCACGCCCTATGGCGCCATACATGTATGGCGCACAGCCTCAACCGATGCCAGGCTATCCTCAGCAAGTCCCACAGTATGGTATGAGTCCCGGCATGCAGCACGCCACCATGCGGAACCCACAAGGCGGCCAGTTCATGAATGGCCCAGGGCCGGCGATGGGTGGCCAAATGATGACACAACAGCCGTCAAACGGACCTTTCATGGGAATGCCTGGCAATCCGCAGATGCAGATGTACTCTCCCGCTCCCGCTCCTGCGTACCCCCAATACGGTGCTCACATGCCTGGTCCTGGCGCTAGCGGATTTCCTAGCCCTAGGCCGGGTGCGCCAATGATGAGCCATCAAGGATCACAACAAGGACACCACCAACAACCGCCCATGATGTATATGCAACCTGGTGCACCAGCTCCTCAGATGTACCAAATGCAGCCAGCAAACAGTAGGTAGCACGTCAGTGACTGATCCAACATGACTAACATCACTCCAGTGACTCCAATGCGAGGACCTTTCCCACAGCCATATCAGGGCGGCCACTATGGCTCACCGCAGCAGCATCACCAGTTCCCCCAGCAACATCGTGGTACACCCAGTGGAAGCTACTCGCAGCCTATGATGCAACAGCACTCGACGGGTCCCCAGGCTCCGCCCACTGGTCCTGCTAACCATGCACCGGACGGCAGCAACGAACCTAAATGAGAGCTTTCAAAGTAAGCTGGTCGCAGATGAGCGGTGTCCGCAGCGGCCTGCTTCCTAAGTTTCGCGACATGCTCTCCGTGTCTGTTTACCAGATTTTGCTATGCGCTTAGCGTGGATGGGTTGGTTAGTCACCATGATGAGTGGCTTGAGGCATAGCGACAGGCGTTGGCTGAGCATGATAGGTGCATAAGGGATTACGGTATGGACCATTGAGTCATGGACATGCAAGATACGACAAGGGAGGGAAGGAGCTGCCACGTTCGCTACGCTACACGCGATCGCAACGTGCCACGGAGGAGCAAGTCATGAGAATTGCGTTGGCGTTCTCCGACCACGAGCAAGCGTTGAAGGGAGCAAGTGGAAAACTACAAGCAAGAAGAGCACGTTCATGTGAGCGCATGCTTCTCTACCACTATCAATACTATCAAGTTCAAAATCCACGTTCATGTTCTCGTGTCAGTGAAGACCCACCCCTGCTTATTATGCAGGTGACATGGATCACCAGGCACAGATCTGACCCACCTGTTAGCGTGCAGCCAGCATTCCGCGCTCCCGCAGCCATTCCGACACTACCCCAGAAGACAGCTACTGCCAGCTTCCCTTCCGTACACGCTTCTTATGTCTGTGTATACTGTATGCCGACTTCAGATGAAGACTTGGAACTACACAGCATGAGTGACGCTGCCGCAGAGCCCCTGATTTCCAACGACCGCGGCGTTCCGCATAATGTACGCGACCGCTACGATGAAGACGACAATGAGAGTATAGGAGAGGATGAGGTGGACGAGAGTGCACTCTTATCTCCAGGGCTATTTATATGGTGTCTGACTATATGCGCTGGGGTTTCTGGGCTGCTGTTTGGATATGAGTATGTATCCATGCATGGTTGCGATTCTTTGTGCCATGTTCCAGGGCATCTACACCGGTGGAAGCAAACACATACTGACAAGGTCGCAGCACTGGCGTAATTTCTTCCACGCTCATATCTATAAATACCGACCTCTCCTCCCGACCTCTTACCACCCTCGACAAGAGCTTGATCACGTCTTGCACCTCGTTCTTTGCGCTTCTGGCGTCGCCTTTAACGGGTATTCTCGCTGATACATACGGTCGTAAAATTGTGATCCTCGTCGCGGATATACTCTTCATACTTGGTGCACTGTTGCAGGCATGGACAAGCACTGTTGGAGGTATGGTCGCAGGTCGGTCCATCGTCGGCGCGGCAGTCGGAAGTGCGTCGTTCGTTGTACCTTTGTATATTTCTGAGCTGAGTCCCAGCCCTTTCAGGGGGCGACTGGTAGTGGTGAGCAGTCTTTTCATTACTGGAGGTCAGGTTGTCGCTTATATCGTCGGGTGGCTTTTCTCGGAGAAACTGCATGGCTGGAGATGGATGGTTGGTCTAGGGGCCTTACCAGCTGCCATACAATTCGTCATGCTGTTCCTCCTCCCTGAGACACCGCGATATCTTGTCAAAGCTGGACAAATTCAACAAGCGAGGAAGGTGCTGGGCAGAGTGTACAAAACTGACGCAAATGGGACAAAGTTGGTCAATGCCGTACTGAGGCGTGTGGAGAAGGAGATTAAAGAGGAAGAGGATGCTGCGGGATTGCGAGGTACTCATGATATGGCTAAGAGTGGTTGGAGAGCCAAAATGGACAGGATTCAGGACAACTTCTCCCAGCTAGTTGCGATTGGGGGCAATCGTAGAGCGCTGATTATCGCATGTATGTTACAGGCCTTTCAGCAACTATGTGGATTTGTAAGTCTCTTCTTCTCGAGTTCTCTAACGGTGTACATGTGTACCCTCGCCAACACATCATTCTTTGATGACTGCTAACATGGCATCAGAACTCCTTAATGTACTTCTCCGCCACAATCTTCCGGCTCGTCGGTTTCGAATCCCCAACGCTCACCTCGCTCTCCATCGCCATAACAAATTTTCTCTTCACACTGGTGGCATTCCATTATATCGACCGCATTGGGCGCCGTCGTATCCTCCTCTGGTCCATACCCATTATGATCATCGGTCTTGCCCTCTGCGCCATCGCATTTCTCTTTATCAACCTTCCTACTGAAGAAGCGTCTGCCACGGCCATTGCTGGAAACAACAAGATTTGGCCTCTCATTATCCTTTTTTCAATGATAACCTACGTCGCTGGCTATGCTATAGGTATGGGAAATGTCCCCTGGCAGCAGTCAGAGCTCTTCCCTCTCTCGGTTCGATCTTTAGGTTCTGCAATGTCTACGGCTACAAACTGGGGATCCAACACTTTTATCGGGATCACGTTTCTGCCCATGATGAATGTCTTCACTCCAGTCGGCACATTCGCCCTCTATGCAGGGGTTTGTATGATTGCTGAAGTTGTGATTTGGAGGATCTATCCTGAAACAGCGGGGCTCGGGTTGGAGGATGTGGGTGGGCTGTTGAAGGATGGATTTGGGGTTGGAAATAGTGTGAGGAAATTCAGGGAAAGGAACAAGAAAATGTGATGGGCAAGAAGACTTTAGAGGTACGTACATGAGAAGAGGGTGTGTGTGTATGGAAATAGAAGCGGATGCGATATCCAAGTTGTCAATGAGATTTGAACATGACAACTGTTCGTGTGAATGATAAGAGCTGACATCTGAGCATAAATACCACTGTTTCCACTTCGCAATTTCCCCCTCGTTCTTTAGACTCGTAGCCACATCCACGGATCTACAGAATCAACTTCATCACATCGACGAACTCATAATCATGAAATCCACGACACTTCTAGCCACGACCCTCAGCGCTCTAGTAGCGTCCGTTCCAGTCCATGTTCCTTCCTCACTTCCTCCCCTTCCTTCAACTCCTGTATTCATATCTGGCATGATGTTAGATAACATGCCTCCCGATAACAACCTCCCAGGCGGCGGTATCGGCTCTTCGTCTCCTAACGCCATACACGATAAGCGTGCCCTCGTAAAGGAGGTTTCAGATACACTCGACTCTTCTACATATTACGATGCAGCCGCTGAGAAAGAAGCAGAAGAGTTGGCTCTCGTTTTGGATGCTGCAAGTGAGAATGTAGCGGAGATGGAAGGTGCCGACGACGATGTCAAGGTGAACAGGTGACACACAAGTCGAGGAAGGTGGAACAGAGGAGGATGCAAGATAAACACTCCAGCTACATGTGGAGAATGCCAAGAAAGGTGGAAGATGTACCAGGCATGCTTGTGTGAGGAGAAAGGCCTGGACAGGTATGTGCAGGGTGAGCGTCAGAACTATGTAAGCGAAAGTCTCTGCAAATGAAAAGTGAGGACACTAACATGTCAAAAGGAGGTTCGTGCGAATAAAGAGTGCCTAGCTTAGGATAGGTCAGACTACGACAAACATCCTTTCCAGTAACTGTGCTTGAATTGGTGTACCCTGAAGGGAGCAGCATGGTTTATCTCAGTAATCTCTTGCCAGAACTCACTCACTGTGTATGCGTTGATGCGAGACGAGAAGCTACCACATTCGCCGTAAACACCAGATGTCATTAACTCATTACCCTTTCCATCCCATGCCAGAACGCCAACGCTGATGTAAATGCCGGAAACCCTTTGTCCGTCGTTTCCCAGACGCTTTCAATGACTGCAGATATCGTCTTATATCCATTGATGGTGCGTCGAGAGTGAAGCTTTAGTTGCCAACGGCCGTGTCGTTGAGCGCAACACACACAGCACCACGATGATGTCCGTTGTACTGCCGGATGATGCTCTGGCTGCCAAGTTCCCATAGCCTCGCGTAGTGATCTGAGCAGCTGGTGACTAGGTAGGCGCTGTCCGCTGAGAAGGCGCAGTCCCATACCCAACGCTGATGACCGTGTAATGTAGTCTCCAACGGGAAGGCAGCAGGATCGCGCTCGCTAGCTGATGGCAAGTTGTCGTTGGGCGTGACGTTGTGAGGAGCAGTAGGATCAACAGACCATATGCGTGCGGTGTGGTCGGCGGAACAGGTGGCTAGGTGACGGACGTCTGGGGAAAGAAGGACACGGGTGATGTAGGTGGTATGTGCGACAAACTTGCAGATGGGGAGGATGGATGTGGTATCGCTACGCTGTATCATGCGCCAGACGTAGACGTTGCCCTGAAAACTCGGTGTTAGCAGACATTGGTAAGACTACTATCTGGCAAGACTTACGGCGTTGTTGCCCGCACACACCATGCTGCCATCACTAGCAACCGTAACACTAGCCACGCTCACATCGTCCTCAGGGATGAGCTGGTGAGAACACTTATTCTCTCCCAAGTCCCAGATTCTTACGTTGCCACCACGGTCGCAGCTGATGAGTTCGCCCTGGTTTGGATGGATAACCACATCATTGACGGGAACACCGTGGGTGTAGTTACGCTGGACGTTGCCTGATCGCGTATCCCAGATCTTGACTGTCCCGTCTTCGGACGAGGTGACGAGCCACTTTGACTCGCAGTGGAAGGCGACACCGGTGATATTTGACGTGTGGCCATCGAAGGTGAGGATCGCGTTCGGATTGGTTGATTTGATATCGTAAAGCTTGACCGTGTGGTGGCCAGCGGCGGCGAGATATCGCTTGTCAGGCGATATGCATAAACGGTTGACTTGGGAGTCTGGATGCGGGATAGTTCGGGAGCATATACCAGAGAGTGCTTCCCAGAATCTGGAGTCCTAGGTGTCAGCACGCACTACCACCAATTGAGGATGAGAAGTCTGCGGACCTGATCGTGTGGTCGTAGCCGGCTGCGATTGTATGTTAGCTGTTTGCCTGTCAAGTGTGGGGTAGGCAGCTCCACGTACCAGTGCACAGAATGACCGACATCTCGATTATAGGGTGTCTTTCTTAGTGCGAATCAGGAGTGAACGTTTGTATATGTCAAAGACTCTTTTAGTACAATTCATGCGACGATGTTAGTAGGCGCGAGAAATCTGGATCATGACGCGTGCGAGGTTGCGATCACAATTGAAAAAGCGTGTCGCGTTGAGGAGTTGGAGTTGGTCTTGTTCGGGAGTGCTTGGACCACTCTCAGCCCTACGGCGGTCAGCCTATAGCGGCCTAGTGCTATGTAAGCTCCTCATTGGCCAACGAGTACGAAGGGGGTGACGGTGAGCGTGACACCTGCCGACGCGTTAGATCTCATGAGTGGTGGCCAGAAGAAGTGGAAAGCATTTGATACTGAGATTCATTAGAAGGTGTGACATGTTGGCGGAAGCCTTGAGTTATCCCCACGCGCCCCTGATACTCAAACAGAAGACTTACCAAGGGCTGTTCTACTTTGTAGAAGCTGACTCTAGAAGCATCCGCTGAATGCTAAGTTGACAAACGAAAAAGATAGATAGTAGCATACATGTCCAGCCATCTCATTACACTTTATTTATCTAGAACAAGCTCCTTGGTATATACGAGAGAAGTCTCCGGAGCGCAATGCCTCAGCAGGGAAGAGGGGCATGGGCCATGACGAAGCTTCAATGGCCTACAGTTTGCTAGCAATATGCATAAGCGGATAACTCTTCGGCCCACTTTCCAGTGAGTCTTTTGTGATCTCCCCAATGTTCCTGAACCCTCCAACACTCATCAGAATATCGAGGTCAGCCAGTAGCCCGCGCATAACATGGTTTACTCCCGTCTCGCCCATGATTGAGAGACCCCAGATCCACAAGCGGCCGACGAATACAAACTTTGCACCCAGAGCAAGCGCTTTAAAGACGTCAGATGCAGACCGGACGCCCGAGTCGAACATGATGTATATCTTGTCACCGACAGCTAGAGGCTTATCAGTAATGCACGACCAAGCGAGAAGCAGACATGGAACATACCGTCGACAATTTTTTCAAGTGAATCAAGACTGGCAACCGCGCCATCAACTTGCCTTCCTGCATGGTTGCTGACTACGATGCCGTCAAAACCCAGATCAGCGGCCTTCTTTGCATCTTCCACGCTCTGGATACCCTTCAGAGAGAATGGCTTGCCCCCACTAAGCTCTTTCCACAGCTTCATCGCCCATTCAGCCTTTTCCCAGGTGTGCGCACGTCCGTGCCATACATTGTCTATCCACAGCGCACCAGCTTCGTTGGGCTGTGTCTTGGGATCAATGCCTTTTTCCTTCAGCCTCTTTTGGAAGACAGGGTCAGTCAATCCCAGGTCTGCACCGATTCCATGGTAGAACGCATAGTTTGAATTTGCGACATCGTCATGTCGCCATCCCAGCTGCCAAGTGTCAAGTGTCAGGATGCAAGCTGTAAAGCCGCTGTCCACGGCACGTTGAAGAAGCGAGCGAGTGAGCTCGTCATCGTGCGGCATGTAGAGTTGGAAGAATCTCACACCCTTCTCTCCACCACCAGCAGCGGTTCCAATATCTCCCCGACCTTTTTTCACGCCCTCATCGTTGGCCTGGCCAACACCTTCTATGCTTTGTGACCCCGCGGTCGAGAGACAGTATGGTAGTCCCAACGCGCCGGCGGCTCTTGCCACAGGGAGCTCGCCTTGTGGATTGTAAATTTTGTTGATGCCAACAGGGGCAAATCCAATCGGCGCAGGAACCTTATGTCCAAAGATCTCCGTCGCAGTGTCGCGCTGGTTGGTGTCTACTAGCATACGCGGGATGATTCGATGTCGATAGAATGCTTGTCTGTTTGTGGTATGGGTGTGCGACTGACCAGCATTGGAAGAGGCTGCAGAAGTGAAGATGCGGAGTTAGTGTAGGTCTCATATGCATTTCTTATAGTGAGGACTTACCATAAAACCAGCCACCCTGGCTGAGCTTCTCCTTCGCTAATTCTTCGAGTTTACCAGGCTCTGTTCTGCACTTTAGCCATGTGTAATGAAGGTTCGCACCAAATACGTATCATACTTACCAGTGTTGAACAATGGCACTTCGCCCTCGTTGGATTTCCAGAAGTTCTCCCGTTGGTACAGCGCATACTGTGGTGTAGATCGAACCTTCTGGTTAGGATTTACAGGGTCCATGATGCCAACTGTGTCAGTCAGGCACAACCTCGGAGTAATTACTTGGAGAGAACTGGGGGGGGGGCTGTTTACTAAAGGAAAGCGCTGATAGTTTTTATATAGATAAAGAAGCATTCAATTCACTGTTAGTCAAATACCACCGGTACCTTCGGATCCACGCCATAATTGTGACGCGTGCACGACCGATGCAAGCTATGACGAAAGGTGATGTTGCTCGGGATTGGACCCTGAACACTAACCACTATCTCCGGCCTTGTTTACGGTAATGCAGACGGTAGTTAGACACAGCAAACAAAATGATTGAAACAGAGGCTCCACTGTCGATCGACATAGTTGATCATGTGTTACCTTTCCCGAAACTGAAGGTTGACGTATAGTCGCTGATGCGAGAGTATCAAGATGACATGTCAAGACAAGGCGCGAGTCGAAGATCGCCCGAGGAGCGGGAGAGTGGGGCACATAGAAAGCTTGTTTGCATACATAGGCATGCATTTGCGTGAGAAGCAGCACCCATAAGGAGGCTGGGATTCGACAGAGTACGTGATCTCAGGGCGAGGCTGGTACATATGACGTCACGAAGCAGCCGCACGCTCCCCAGCCCAACGTTGGAAACACAGTTGAACAGGTCACAATAAACGCCCCTCTTGATAGGAACACTGTATCGTGAACAAAGTGATAGCTTATAGAGTAGGCGAAGATCGAATCCGCCAGGTATCATTTCGTGATTCTGCCCGCTTGCGATCCATCAGGCTTGTTCCATGACCCGTTTGATCCTGCAGGAAACCAAGACATCCATCATCGCTTGCAAAACATCCATAAGAGAGACATTGCATATCATCATGCATCGAATTTAACCCCTTCGAGCCAAACGTTATTAGTCGCGACCAAATCAAGTTAGGACAAGCTATTTCTCGCTCGTCTTGATTGTGCTTGCCTCAGGCTTCTTGTCAGCCTGGGCCGCTTCAAGGGCGTCGGACTTCTCCGTCTGTACAGACGATGGTGACTCGGTCACTTGGACCTTACTCTCGTGCTGAGGTCCAGGGGTTCCCTCACGGTCTTGACGGGACTTGTCGTTGGCTTCCTGGTTATACTTGTTGACTTGCGAATCCAGATCCTTGTCTTCGTCCTCGTTGTCGAACATCTCGCCGTCATGGTCTCCAGTCGAAACTTCGGTACCGTCGCCGAGAAGGATGATGCGGCCGCCGTTGCCGTTGTTCGGTCGGAATCGACTGTCCAAATCCATGTCGATATCATCAGGAGAATCGTCAATGCGATGATGAACGCCGGGACCGCGGAACTCGGCTACACGATTGTATTAGAACTGAACTACTCGCCCTCTGAGGCAGATTTGGCTGGATCTTCTGACTTGCCGTACTCTGGCGGCGCACATGGACCCTCTCCATTCGCAACCCGCTTTGCGATGTCCTCGTACCACTGCTCCTTTGTCCTTCCCTGTAGGAGACCAATGACAATCATCGTCATGTTGTCACAGCCAACACCTCCCGTGTCGCTGTTCGAAGCCAAGCAGTTGTCCATCATGTTCTCGCAGATCGAGGCAAGATCCTGCTTTGCGACAATCCCGCGCCTAACGAACTCGACGACGGCTTGAGAAGACTGACAATCCCAGATACCTGTAACTAGTCAGTGACAGCGCGGAGTTGTAGCGAATCGAATAACCTTACCATCGCAGGCGACGATCAAGAACTCGTCGTCTTGGTTGATGTCATGTATCTCAACATCCGGGAAGGCAGTGACGATCTGCTGTTCGGGAGGAAGGTCGGCGCTTTTCTTGAACTCGAAGTCACCGATTGCGCGTGATAGAGCCAGGTTGCCGTTGACGCGGCCGAAGTCGACAAAACCACCCGCTGCTTGGATACGTGCTTTCTCGGCTAGTACATGTCAGTGCTGTTTTTGGCGGTGGGGTCATGTGTCTTACCCTCGTTCTGCGGCTTGTGGTCGAAAGAGAGCGGCTTTGCCCTGCCCTTGACACCTAGGACGGTACGCGAGTCACCTGCATTGGCCTGTTTCCGTAAGCGTCCGTCATGGAGTATTGTAAGGGGTCAATGTACAACGTAGATTTTGTCTTTTGACAAGACACCGACCGATGCAGTGCAGCCAGAAACCTCCTCTTCGTACTTGGGGTCTGTTCGCGCGAGTCAGCAACTTGTCGAGGAGCGGGTGTAAAGGCTTCAAAGGGCTCACCACTCAATATCGCGCGGTCTGTGGCGAGGAAACCGTCTTGTAGAGCCTTCTTGATGTCTCCCTCCTTGAAAGCCTCTTGCTTCGCGACAATCTGATGTAGCTGTTCGCCGGCATACAGCGCCACCTTGTCACCACCGTGTCCGTCGTATACGCCGAAGAAGGCGAGTCGCTTATCGTTGCCTGTGGGCTTGCCTTCTTCACCGGCAAAATCTAGTACGGTGGCATGCGCGTCCTCCATGCTGATCCGCCAGCCCTGCATCGACGACACACCGTAGATGAGTGACTCGCCATCGCCGTTTTCGGATTTCTATACGAGTAATGTGTCAGCATGGCAGCCTTGAGCAACTAAACAGCATGGCCTCGTAGGACAGGGCAGGCGACGGTTGCCAATGGAGAGGATGCAAGTAGCGCAGGTGCGGGGGCGGGGGCCAGCATTGGGAGGCAATTACCTTGTCGACGACGGGTTCTGAGAGTGTCTGACCCATCTTGTCCGGTACCTAGGAGGACCTGTGGGAGAGGAGGAGAGGAAGTCTGAGGCTGATCGCGAGTCTCCCTAGGGGCGTAGAATTCCAAACTACGATGTTGGTGTGTGGGGGGTATTACAGATTTGGACAGGCGCAGGGGCGGCTGTGTAAAGGGCCAGTCGCGTGTGTAAGTATGGTGTAGGTCCTAGGGAAGAGGACAGAGGAAGAGAATTGCGTGCTCTAGCTCGCGGGGGTAAACAGGCCGATGGTGTTGTAGGCAAAGAGTGACGCTGCTCTACCTGTCAGGTTCAAGGCCCGTGCTGCTTGCTAGTGGGTTGTGGCTAGGTCGAGGCCAGAAGCGACCTGATGACGGCACGCATTTTCTGCAGTCCCGTTTCCCCCACCAGCTCCTGTCTCCGAAATCTCCGTTGATTCCTGGTTTCCTGCTGCGAAGACGCCCTCGGCTTACCCAGCGAGCCCCTTGTCGTGCACCGAGTGAGGCGGTGCAATGCCATGCCAAGGCAGCAGCCGCCAGCATGCTGCTTTCCTTCTGCACGAGCTCGCGTGCCACGCACAAACGAGAAGAGCGAGCACCCCCTTATCGTCTCAGCCTCTTCACGGGAGCCGCCTGCCCTCAATGGCGCAGCCTGGCCCATCACTCCAACCTGACAAAGACTAAAGCACCTGCCCAGCCGTGTTTCGGCTGACAATGCAGTACGACAAATCAGTACTGCCTGAAGTATACAAACGCGTCGATCTTGTTGCTTTACAATGTTGATGGTCCGTACAGATGGCTGCATTGATGACTTGACGTACGAGACACCTTGGCTGAGTGGACTGAATATACCCCATATCTCTCACCTCAAAAGGCTCATGTTTGAACTCGTCTAGAGACATCCATATCCAGCTTCCGTATTGCTTCCGAAGTCATGTTGCAGCCATACGATCCCGGACACACCGTGTCTTCTTCTGATGCTAACCGGTGACGCGCACTAATGCCCTCTTGCGGTAAGGCAAGGCTAGCGGAATTGCATGTCGCGAACTTCACTCCTCATCTGCTCGGGATTCTGACTTCGGCACTTTCATGGGATTATCTATCAGAAGCGCGCATGAGCCCTCGGAAGACTATGGTATGGTGGCCAGTGCGAGCCCCAGACCAACGCGTGTTACCGTTTTGGCCGTGGACCTCGGCTCGAAGCTCTTAGTGCATCTGACGATCCGACAACCTACTTAATCATCATTCTAAACAACCCTCAATCTCCTCCATCATCCCAATCATCAATTTGCTATCACAATGAAGCCAACACCAGACTGGGTCAAGCAGCTGAAGCCGTCAGGCGTTCAAGGCCATGAATTGCTCAAGGCTGAACGCGCCAACTCCAATGTCCCCGTCCAAGAGCTACAAGTGCTTCTACACACTCAAGATGTCATCGACAGAAGGAATAAGATTCTTGACATACTCAAATCCGAGAAAGTCTTCGATAAATCACAGAACTACTTCATGGGGAGGATCGATAGGTTCGAACGCGCGCTCGCAAGGGAGAAGAGGTTGAGGATATTAAAGAAGCAACACAACTGGTCTCTCGAGGAGTTCCGGGCTGCCACAGAGCTCGTTGGAGAACCAGGACCATACGGACTTCACGACAGCATGTTCAAGGTACCCGTCACTGCCCACCTCCACATAGCTGTTACTAATGATTCAGGTTACACTCGAGGGCCAGGGTACACCGGAGCAACAAGAGAAGTGGCTTACCAAAGCCAACGAATACAAGATCATCGGATGCTATGCTCAAACTGAGCTTGGCCATGGTTCAAATGTTCGTGGACTTGAAACAACAGCAACATGGAACAAGGACGACAAGACCTTCACCATCCACTCGCCACACTTGACCGCCAGTAAATGGTGGATCGGATCCCTGGGCAGGACAGCCAACCATGCTGTCGTCATGGCTCAGCTCGTCATTGATGGCAAGTCCTACGGACCGGCGCCTTTCTGCGTTCAAATCCGTGATCTGAAGACGCATGAGCCCCTTGAAAACATTCACATCGGAGATATTGGTCCTAAATTTGGTTACAACACCATGGACAACGGTTTCCTCCTGTTCAACCACGTCAAGGTTCCGCATATCAGTATGTTGGCCAAGTACACATTTGTTGACCCCAACACAAACAAATTCGGTCGCCGTGGTTCTCCATCTCTTGTCTACGGTACCTTGACTTGGGTCCGATCGACCATTGTTATGCAAGCCGGTAGTGTGCTTGCTCGAGGTGTCACCATCGCAACCCGCTACTGCGCTGTGCGTCGTCAATTCCAGGATCGAGATGCTCCTGCTG